CCTCTTCTGCGCAAACACCCACCCCCCAAAGACCCAGCAGAACACACACCCCTTCTGCGCAAACAACACACATGGGTTCTCTCCAGCAAAGCAAGACTGGGAGGATATACACACATAGTCACCAGCAAAGCAACACTGTACAACCATCTTCCAGATATTTCTCTCCATCCCCTCTCCTCCCCTCCCCTCTTTCTGTTTCTCACTGAAAGTGCCCAAAACCCCGACCCCAACCATAATGCTCATTACATGTTTGTTGAAATGCCTAAGAGAACCCACACCCACAAATACTGTGAGTTTGGGTGTATTTTTTATACCATTTTAAATTTTTTTATGCAATTTTGAATGTGCTATGAATTTCGTGACGGGTCAATTTTGAGGTAGTTAATTTATGGATTGTTAATTTTAAGGTCGTTTATGCTTTTCTGATCTGGTAGCACATCTGAATTTGTCTACTCTTTATGATTCTGTTTTGTTATAGTTTTGTGATTCATTTTCATATATATATATAGTTGATAATTGCTTCCAAGTTCATGCAATTAATTGGTTTTCTGGCAGAATAAAGTATATCACTACCAGTTTTACACTTTTTCTCACATTCACGATTTGTATAGGAAGCATTTTCAATTCTAGATGGACTTCTTTTATATAGTTAGAGACAACCAATTTGAGGATTCTGGTTTGAGATTGCATATCTGAGATGGGTATCACTGGGGAGTTGGTTAGGAGTGTCTTTTCCAAAAGCCGGTCCATCGGAGCCCATGAGAGCAATGTGAGTTGATTTCACTTTAGCTTACTGGTTTTCTTGAAGTTGCAAAGGATTTTACTTGAAAAAGATATTTGAAAAAAGTTCTATTAGTGAAAAATTGGTCGATGAAATTGATTGCTTTAAAAAAGAGATCTATTTGAGCTTTTGCATTTTGATTTTTTTGTATGTGTTCGTGGATTTGTAAAGTTGATTCCCTGAATCTTTTGACTATTAATGTGTTAGTTGAAATTGGGCTATTAATATGTTGTTATTGTGTTTTTGCTTTTGAATATTTAAATTCTAATGTTTTGCTTTGATTTTAATCTATTGTGTTGATTTTTGTTGTAATCTTCTGGGCATTTGTTGCAGTGGCGGTTGAGTTTTTGAAATTGTGATCTTGTTTTAAACTCCTTGAACATTCAAATTCCAATTGAGTTTGCCCTTTTTTTTAATTTGAGTATGCTCACAGTTTTGTTAGTTTTCATTTTTTGGGCTTGCTTGCGAGATGTTTGACAGGATTTCGTTTCTTGGTTTTATGTGGGTAATGGGTTGTATGATTTTTGCATAATTCCTTCCTTGGATTTTGATTGTTTTTTTAGACTAATTTATAATTGAGTCCATTATTGTAAACTCCTTTTGGTTCAATACCATTTTAACTATTGGTATTGTTCAATTCTTAATTCCATTTGTTGGTTTTTTATAGCTACTTTTTTTTGTCTGTTGTGTTATTACTTCACCAACATCTATTTTTATTCTTGCTTCTTAGCACCAATGTTCATTTGTCGATTATTTTGCGTTCAAATTCAATGTTCAATTTTTGTTAGTTACACCGTGCCTTTAGGCACACAGGTTGTCCCTAGTAAATAAATAATAGTAAACATAGAGAGTTTGAGTCAAACTCCAATAATTAAAGATCAACTATCTTGACCCTCACATTTTATAGTGGATGTACTCGTCACCAAAAGAAATTATTGACCCTAGATAATATTTGTCATAATTGGGAGCTTTTGCAGACCTAAAACATTGCTTGCACTCTTTTGGAAATTTAACAATTGAAAAGGGTTAGTTAAACTTTTCCCTTCTCAAACTGTGATGTTATTACCTTTGTCCAAATACCACCCCAATAGGCTTTTATTGGTGAGATTATGAGGCCTTTGACCACACCCGTTACTCCTCTATTCTCGGAAACAAACCTAGTTAGGTTAGTATAACGGTCAACCACCGAACTCTAACTTGATTTCCAAGACTTGAACATCCAACCTCAGAGTGAAAAGCTTGACTAATACCCCACTAAATCATCCCACTTAATGGAGTGGATTGAAGTTGTTACTTGTGGTGTTATTCTTCAGAAAAGCCATCTAGACATTACGTCTCATAATCTTGATGCACCACCCAAAAAAAAGGAGTATGTGGGGTTTCATTCTACACGTCAAGTCTTAAAAAAAATGCAATGGTTATTGTTTATAAATAAAATGAGAAAGCATGTCAAATAGATTAAGCTGTAACTTATATATTAAACTAAGGATAACTTGTGCTTGAAGACTCGGTTTAATGTGAATAGTTTTGAGAGGAAGATTGGTAGTTATTTGATGAGTCTATTTGAAATCGTCGGATGAAATTATTGAAGTCAGCCTTGTTTTATAGAGTAATGCTATATAACCCAAATTTATAACTTATATTTGCATCTCAAATCAATAAAGCACCATTGGATCAGCGTGTCTCATTTAAATAAGTTTATAGGACTCACTCCCAATGATTCCCGTTCATTTGGAATACAAATTTAGATTATAAATTTAGGTTATGTAGTATTTCCCATTAAGTAGTAGCTATTGATTATGGAAATTGAAGAGAGTTAATGGACTCTGCAATGCTTGGGTTAAAGATAACCAAAAGCCAAAAATCAACATGTTAAAAGAGAGAGGAAGAGAGTTAAATTGATAGGTTGCTAATACCGAAAGAGTCATTATAGTACAGATTTTAAATCTCTTACAAAACTTAAAAAGATAATTTTGGTATTAGTTACATTATGAATGTTATTAGAGTCAACAAAAAAAAATTACTTTTGTTGATATTTTATAGTAGTATATAAATAATAAAACAACCTTATATTTTTTAAAAAATCACAAAATGACCATAATATGTTCAAAACTTATTAAAACATGTCTGCAACGTGTATAATGATTAATAATAATGTTACTTGCATCTAATTTAAAATTTAATTGGTAAAAATCATTAGTTTTGCTAATTAAAGAGATTGGAACTTTTTATTTTTCTTTAATTTTGGTATCGTACCGCCATTACAAATTTATGGATATTTTTATAATTTCTTATGGTCATTTTATAATTTTTTGGTAACTTGGGATCGATATTAAAAAAAATTGTAAATTGGCCAAAAAAAACTATAGTTGAAACCTTAAAAGTTATAACTTGAACCAAAAAATTATAAATTTTGTTGTTATAAACAAACTTCAAATTTTATACCAAAATCCACAAAAGTAATAAAATTTAGTTCGATATTGAAGTTTATTTTGGGGTAATTAATGTAGTTTTGTCCTTTAAACAAGGAAAGGAATTAGAAATTGGAGGTCAGAAAAAATTATTAGCTCAACAAAGTCAAATGCGTGGCAAAGGTTGTTGCTATCTGATGATTCTAGATTGGAGCGACAATCCTAACCCCATCAATTAAATTTCTTTTTCTTTTTTATATTTATAATTTAATTTTTGATATAAATATAAATATATTTATGATTGACAATTTTTGTTATTTATCCGTGCCTTAAAGACACGAACAATAACTAGTATGATTGTATATTATCATCATACAAAATTAAGGAAATTGACCAAGAGATTTAGAAAGAAACCAACACAAAAGAAGGTTACAAAAGACGTGGAATATTATCCAAATGAAAGTTGAGGAGTTGATCATGACTCGGTTAACTAGTATTTTTATCGATCGATATCTTGAATTATAGTTGCATAGATTCTTACTGACAATCTCTCCCAATGATAATCATAATTCCATGGTTTCCATTACTAGCAATGATTCTATGATTTAGCATAAGAACAAATTCAAATACATTAAAGCTTATCACTATCACGGAAGTGATTTAAACAAACACGCAGACATATAGATACGATCTCAACTACAGATAAAGTAACATAGCCATCCATATAGAGCGCACCAATGGTGATCCATTGATGCTTTTATTCATGCTTCTTGTGAAGTATTTATTATTATTTGCTTTAGTTGTGAGGCTTTGCTTCAAGCTCCACATCCATGGCCTTACCAGCGTAAGAGCAGCACCAACGTCCACAACCATAATATCAATAACCTCCGCCCCCACGGCCACCACCAGGGTTTCCTCCGTATCCACCACCTGGGTATCCTCCATACCCTCCACCAGGGTTTCCTCCATATCCACCACCTGGGTAGCCTCCATATCCTCCGCCTGGATTGCCGCCATATCCACCACCAAGATACTTAGCATCATCTACCCCATTCGTCCCGTTAGCTACACGAATAATGAATTTGCATGTTAGCACAAATATATATGGTCATAAGTACATCTAATACTCTTAACACATTCTTAATGTCAGCAGTGGTATTTACATATAATATTATTGGACTATTTTAACTGACACGTTATAAGATCTGGATATCATGTCTTTTGTTAGATCTCGATGACGACATTTTTCTTATGCAAAACCAGTACTACGTAGGGGATTTGAGAAGAACAATCAAGAAAAAGAAATGCCATGGAACCCATATTGTTTGCACTTGGAACTTTATGCTATGAAGGGATGACGAAGATGGTTGTGTTACCACCTATGAACTATGGATATTTCAATGAGGTTGACGTACTCATATTCGATACCGTATTGGATATGATACTCGTCGGATACTCGAAGATACGTATCGGATACACTTTCTATGTATCCAATAATAATTAAATATTATAATACTTCACGAATACTTTTGTAGTCGAGCAACATATATAATTTTTGAGTTAAATTTTTAACATCTCTTTTTAAATTCACATACCATATAGTACATTAACAAAAAATTCATATTGTTTCAAAAATACATGAGTGTTTCTTAAGTATTATTTATAATTATATGTCAAAAGAGTATAAAATAAAGTTATTACATTATTATCTTTGCAAAAATTACTTCTAAATAATTGGTAAATATTAGATTTAATTCTTTTAATTAGTCACTTCACTTTGTGAATATACTATAGCGATACGATATATATTTTTTTAAAACTAAAAAAAATTATTAATTTTCCTTATTGTATATTGCATAACTATCAAAATATATAAGTATTAAACTAGTTAAAAATATTAAAAATATTTTATTATAGTCGTATCTTAGCCGTACCCGTATCCTTTTTTTTTTAGACTTTGTCGTATCGTTATATCTGTATCGTATTTCATATCTGTATCTGTGTTTCATAGGGTACCACCTACGAGAGAGAGAGAGAGAGAGAGAGAGAGAGAGAGAGAGAGAGAGAGAGAGAGAGAGAGAGAGAGAAATTTGTTATTGAGGAGTAACCATTAACTAGAGATAGGCAATGATTTAGTTGGGTGTTGGAAGTTTGGCTTTTAGTTGGGACAAAGTCAAATCTTATCTTATGATTATTTTTTTTTTGTTTTTTTTTTATCACATAGCTCCGTGTCTTATAGGCACTTTGTGGGGGAGTGTGAAGAAAGTTCATTAACATATGTACTATTGGCATGTTTAGAGCAAGCCTAAATAGGTAATTTTTAATAACTTTACTATAAAATAAGTCAAGACCGTTGAACCCAAAAAAATATATTTAAATTGATTTTAGTTTATTATACTCATAAAATATTATTAGTGGCATAAAAAATTTGAAATTCATATTTCGAGAATTATTATACCTAATTTATACATATGTAATTATTTTTTTATTTTAACAAAAAAAAACTCGAAAGTCACTTTAAACAGATTTTTTCAACCTTTTTAACTTTTTATAGAGCACTCCAAATGATTTTGAAAAACTTTTTTAATTCTAATTTTTTTACAAAACCTTTCAAACCACAACTTTTCACCAAAAAAAAAAACCAACTCCAAACAGACACATTAATTACAAAAAATTTTGTCAAAAAATTCTATTTATTATACTATGTGTTTCAAATATATGTTTAATGTTGTTGATCACAATATCTTATAAACATAGAGGAATTTATTTTTCATTGGAAAACTAAGCCTGAACTAGTTTATTTCACCCTCAGTCACCACTTTATATCAATGGGACATACTCTGGAGGCGGTTCATTTGGAATCCTCCCAAACTACTTACTTCCTCTTCATATCCATCCTCGAGGTTGCCTCGACAACGTTCAGTAGCCTTGCAGCCTCTATTATAGCGATTTGATGGTCGTGACAAGCAAGCTTCAGGGTGCTCGTTGTTGCTGGGAAAAACCATGTCTCGAGCCTTCTAAGAAGGTCCAATTAATAGAATAAAAAAGTCCAATTACAGCTCGTCTAAGAAGGTCAAGGCCGAACTAACAATCAATCCGTGACTTTGCCCCTTTCTTTGGAAAATTATGTCTAGGTACCTGGCGGAGGACCTTTTTTATGAAAAAAACCTTGAAAAAAATGTGTCGTAGATAAGTAACACTAAATTGAAGTGTATTGTAGAGAGATACACTATTTTTATTCTTCTCTTTACTATAATATCCTTTCTCTATTTTTATAGTGTTCGTATATTTGATAATTGCTTTTTATATGGAGATTTGATTTTATCAATAGGCAGTTTCCTAGTCTAGAAGATTTCTTTCTTTTTTTTTTTTTCTAAATTTTGAACATCTAAATCATCCATAAACGACGCAAAATCTAAACAAAACCAACATCTATTTTAAAGTTGGGGTCATCATCATCTGTGATGTGACATTAAAGTGATACATGCATGACAATGTAATATCTTCATTAACACTTTAATCACTGACAAAAAGTTGTGAAATTAACTTCAATCTAAATAGTATGTATCACAAAATGTGATATCACAAATGTGACATCCATATACACTTTTAATAAATGGCAGTGTTACATCATAGTATAACAATGTAAAATAACACTAATTTCAGTTAATTAATTGAGAGATTTTAGACTAGAATTTAATGTTAATAGAGGAGAAGAGAATTTTAGATAAGTTCAATTATATACAAACGTAAGAAAGATAAATTATAGCTATGTGAAAGATTTTAGAAAAGTCAAAAAAAATGTTGTTTAAAATTTAAATTCATTGTCCCATTAAAATAAGAAACTCTTAATTTATTTTTAGAGGACCGTGGTTTGTGTATGGTTGAAAATTGAAGGAATTTGAGAAAGTTTTGTTCAAATTTTAAAAAATAGAGTTTTGGGGCCTTGATTAGTTACTGGATTTTGTGAAGATAGTGAATGGAATTTGATAGTTTCCAAAGACACACAAACGTCTGTTCAGTTACCTATGTGGGTTTTTTGGAACAAAAAAAATGAGGATTTTTCCGCAAAACATTTTAATCAAATGACTTTTATACAAACAAGTCCTATATAGGATACTGGACTACAAAAAATCCTTTTTATTTTTTCCAAAGCTAGCCAATGATCTGGCAATCCAGTCAAGTTTGGGCCTAGAGTTGATAATCAAATCGAATTATTATAGTTCGGCTCTTTTTATGTCCGTTCAATCTTGATTCGTTTGACATATTAGACTCGTTTATGTGTAAATATTCAGATTCGGCTCGATGACCCAACCCATTGGTGATCTTCTGTCAACATGGTGGAAGGTTATAGAACTTCTGATACGATTCGAAACCCAAAAAAGTTTGATAAACCACACTCCATTGCTTCTCAAATAGTTTTGTTACCCATGGTCAAGCCTGGGCCTAACCATTGACTGGATGACCCAACCCATTGGTTACCCTTTGTCAACATGGTGGAAGGTTATAGAACTTCTAATGTGATTCGAAACCCAAAAAAGATTGATAAACCATTCTTCATTTCTAATCAAATAATACTCATAAGTCATAACTTCCTCTTTAGTCCTACCTCACTTATGAAATATCACTACTATCGTTCGTTCAAATAACTACTAATTATATCTCTTTTTTTAACTCCACATATGCGCGCCCAACTCTCACTTGGTTTTCCTCTTTTATCGTCATCTTCCCAAGAGTAACCGTCTGTATAGGTCCCTACTATGTAATTAAGACCTGTCTAGTGTTGGATTCTAGTCATGCAGTTGAAAATATGCTCCACTAACAGAACAAAAAATCGAATCATACCTGTATTGAGAAGATCTGACTTTATAATATAATTGGAATCTGTGATATCTTGTGATACTGATGCGTGGGTAAAATGATATCAATGTTTTGGAAAAAACAAAACATAACAAGTACAGAAGTATTCCCCCCCCCCCCCCCCCNGAATCAAATCTGAGACATAGTCTTTGCATGTCTCAAGCAAGACCCTTAACAGAGCGCTGAGCACCACAAGATCACACGACTTGTTGGTGAAAGTATGTTCAGTAAAGTTATGGGCCCGTGGAGGGACAAATGATCAAAGCTTCAAAGACATTTATAAAGGCTACTTAATGAGAGCCTCTATTTCTGTTAAGAAGATTGAATATCTGAGGCCACTCCAGCAATTCATTCACAGACGACATATCATTCTCTTATAGGGTAGTTGGGGGTGGTGGGTGCCTGTCTTTTTTAAATCTGCAAAACATAAAAATTTGAGCAAAAAGATAATTAAAACCAGGACTTGCCAACTGGCTGTTCTAATCAATATCTCCATTGAATTAATGATGAAATCTCCACACAGGAATACTTTATTTTATGTACCAGATGAAGAAAGAACTAGAAGCTCATCCATTGCATACAGCTGGATGGAGGCCATGTTGACACAACTCAATAACAACATGAACCGTCATGAAATTATTATGCTAGCGTTAAACAGTTTTTGATACGAACTTACAAATAAAACTCTTTATGAACATAAATAATAAATATTAATTATTAACAGTTTTGGATTTTTGCTTGCATATGGATTAGGTGGATTTTTAGTTTATCAAAGGCGTATAGATGGTTGGTTTGCTTCAGAGAAAAAGTGGTCTTAATTCTAAATTCTGGATTTATAGGGTATGTCTGTCAAACCTAACATGACCCGATTAGCAAAAAAGTGGAATCAATATTAATTAAGTCATCTGATATGATTAATTGTAGAAGTTTGACTATGGTTCATTAGTACTTGTTATCAAATTTAATTGTAACGATTGGAATGAAGTGGGGAAGAAGAGGGGGAAACGAATTAAGTTTATTTTGAGACTTAATTCAGAAATTTAATGCATTGTTGTCATTATTATCTCACTATCAATCCAAAGATAATAATGTATTATGTCGTCAATTAAATCTTAACTAGGAGTAAATCCGTATTTGAAGACACGGTAAAATGTGAATAGTTTTGAAAGTGATGTTAGTGACCGTTAGATGAGTCTGTTTGAAATCGTCGAATAGAATTATTAAAATATGTCATGTTTTATATTATAAATTATATTGCTATATATTGTTATATATATATATATATATATATATTAGTAAATTACTTGTTTATTTATGTTCATATTCATCTATTTATCTTCCATGCTTGACCATGGATTTTGAACATTGAATTTGGCTTGAAAAACAACAAATTTTGATGCTATTAGTAAAGTGCTGCAATTGTTATTTTTCTCTCAAAGAAACTATTTTTAGGAAAGATTATGGTCATATTTTGTTTAGTTTTCAGAAACTGATTTTTGTTCTCAAAATTCAAAAACTCCTAAAACTTGTTTGTTTAGAATTTTTGTTCTTTAAATTCTGGGAAAAAATAAGATTTAAGTCAAAGAAAAACAGAAAATAAGTGTAGCTTGTTGTCAGAGTTTTCTTTGAAAATTTTGGAAACAAGGAAAATAATTTTGGATATATATATATTATGAAATTGTCAATATAAAAATAACTTTTTTATATTTTTTTATTAATGTTTGAATTACTGTTCAAATATATACTTAAGCTATCCAAACAAGTTTTTTTATTTTTTGTGTTGTAAAATTATTTTTGAAATCATCTAACCAAACAAGTTTTTTATCTCAAAAAATATCAAAATTACTTTCTTAAAACTCTTCTCAAAAACTGTTTTCGAATACTATTTTTTGAAACGCAAACCAAACAAGCTCAATAATTCTTGGCCTCCCCAACCTTTTCTATTTAGTAGGGTGATGTTTAACCTATTCTTATTTGTGTTAGAGTGCTCTTATACTATCGAGCTTTGTCTAAATGACTTTTGATGATGTACAAAATAGGCTTATGCACAATCATCAGTCGAGTGTATAATAATTAATGAAGCAATCAATAAAGAAATTAATCAAAGAGACAAATATTATACCAACACACAGATGTATAATAGTTCGGTCAGAGTGACCTACTCCATTTTGAAGACGGCAACGGTGCCCAATGGTCTTTATTAATGAAATAATAGGTGAGAGAGACATAGAGAAAGCAAAGATATGCTCTTGATAGCTATGAGAAAAATTGCTTGTGTAGGGGTATGTAGGAATGTGTGACTTATAATTTATAAGCACAAAGTCTTTGTTGATGCAGTGACGTGATGAGTAAGTGTCTAATCCTTTGAGGAGGATAATTATAACTAAAAATAGGTACAATTAAAAATAACCTTGATTTTCGAATAGCAATTATCTCGATTCTTACTCTCCATGTACATTGATTTTCTTAGACTCTTTGAACTTTGGACCAGACTAAATTGATGAGCTAAATTTAACCTCTTTTTTAACCGATTTAGACTTACCCATGAATTGACTTAGACCTACCTAGATATGGGCTCGTCAACTTTATAAATCTCTCTTTCTATCGTTATCAATGGAATGTCCTATTAGTTAAGTTTATGGGTTAACTTTTAACACAAATTGGACCGACTGTAACAAACTGATTGATTCGTTCCCCATTCCATGGGTTTCTGTCAAGCCTCGTTAATAACCAAATACGCTTCTTGACTGCCACCAAAAAAAATTAAGTGAACAGATTCCATTAGCCATTAATACCTCCAACTACCTTCAGTCCACTCTGGCCTCAACTACTATCAAATTCCCATTTTCAGGATAAGTTTAACAAAAACCGAAAGAGATAAGGTATCAAAATTATAACTTGAAAAATGTTATTTTAGCTTAATTTGAGAATTTAATTTGAGACCTAATTTAATACAACTATCAAATTAAAAATAAATTTCATATAATGTTAAAACTCACAATTAATTTAACGATCACATCAAATTATATTCATATATAGCATTGCGCTTAGTACATCTCCAACCTTGACTCAAATTTAAATTTGAGTAAAAAATGTCTAATAAACTTACTCCAACCTTTGACTGAAACTTATACAAAATTAAGAGAAACTCATTTTTTAACTCAAATCAAGAGAAATTCAAATTCTTACCCAAATCATTAATGGTGAGATTTTACCATTTTTTTAAATATTTAATGATCATCTTTATTCTCTTTTAAATTTGAGTTTATTCTCATTTAAATTTATGTGTCTCTTTCTTTAAATTTGATGTTATTCATTGAAGTCATTTATATCAAATCAAGCTTGTTATTCAAATATTAATTTAAATTTATATAAAAATTTGAGTCATGTTTGGAGATGCTCTTATAATTTGTATGATTTAAGTTATGGAATTAAACTATAAAAAGTGATATAATCAATATTAAAAAACACAATTATTGGTCTCATTATTGATCCCAACAAACATTGAAATTCATTCTCAATCCAATGGTTATAAATGATTAGGTCAATAGATTAATTCCAAGTAAGATTTGAGAATAATCTTTAAAAATACATACTCAAAAGTTATATTTTTAACTCAAGTGGTAAAAAGCTGCAAATCTAGATGTTTTAAATTTGAATTTTGGTAACCCCTTGAGATTAAGTCATGAGTTATTTATCTCCTATTAATATTCTAATTCAAGCGTGGAAGGTCTGTATTTAACAGAACTAAAAAAAAAAATTAATCGAAATACGTATAAACTGGTTCGACGAAGTGTACCATTCAACTTTAATTTAAAAAAGAAAAACAGTGCTCGTTGCCTATTTCCGCACCCAACAAATATATATATATATATATATCATTTCCCACTCATTGAAACCATATTCTTCGTTCTCTCTTGCTGAAGAGTGGGGAAGAGGAGGAAAGCTATATGGCATACACATACATTTCATGGCTCCTGTTGGGCCAATTCCTCACGCTAGTCACAACTTCTGCATCAAAAATTCCGGCCATAATCGTGTTCGGAGACTCCTCGGTCGACGCCGGTAACAACAACCAGATTTCCACAATACTTAAGAGCAATTTCCAGCCATATGGTCGTGATTTTTTAGGTGGCAGGCCTACCGGACGGTTCTCTAATGGCCGCATTCCTCCGGACTTCATCTCCGAGGCTTTTGGACTAAAGCCGGCTGTGCCGGCCTACTTGGATCCGGCGTATGGTATAGCAGATTTTGCTGTTGGTGTTTCCTTTGCTTCTGCTGGTACTGGCTATGACAATGCAACCTCTAATGTGCTTGTAAGCCTCTAACTCTTTCTAAATTTCCCTTTCATTAAGCTAGAAACGTAAGTTTATATGTGTAGACTAGGAAGTAAAGATACAAATACAAAATATGAGTATGATATGATATGATATAGATACGATTATATTTTACTTTCTTTGCACTGTATGCTCACAACATATATATTATGTAAGAGGAGAAAACCTCTTGCCTTCAATCGTCAGAGTCTGGCTGAATAGATACAAACTTGGGCTACTCTCCTTTCCGTGCAAAATGAGCAAATTGCCTGAGATCGGGTTAGTATTGTCGGAGGCACTTTGATAATTAAGTTAACAGAGACTCTTAGTAGTAGATGTATTCAATTACAAGGAAGAAGTGTGTACTTTCGATTTAAGCCTTGGCCCGACATTTGTAGTGTATGTCTCTCCCTTCCTTTTAGTCGGATTAGACCGTACGTCTAACGTAACAGTTGTAATTTTCCCTTTTTGAGCCTTCATCTGCTCCGGTTTTTCCTCGTCCACATTTACAACATATCCTTATAAATTTGCCAGACTCTTTTCCCATGTTTCTTAAGACTTGCGAAGTCATTTAGAGGGAATATTTTTGTGAAGCAGCGATAGAAAAAACTCATTGCCAAAAACATCCTATAAAAAATTTTCACGAGAAACTTTGAAAATCGTCCTCAAAAAATCACTTTTTGATAGCAAATTTCTGTATTGGTGGTCAAAACTCGACACTAAAAAACAATTTTATTGAAGTAATCTCTTATGCCACCATGTGAAATAGGGAACGATTTCAGTGTCATACAGTCTTATTGTACCACCATGAGGTATAGTGAGTAGGGACCAACTACGGGTATGGTCTCAAAGTTACGATTTAAGTAGATCAAGGATCCATACCAATTTGTTTGAACTTCATTAACTCGTAACTTGAACTATATTGACTTATAATTTCTACAACGAATACCGAATTAGATACCATAGTCTTACCGTCCATGTATATTGACTCCATTTTTTTATCTCTCAGTCTGTGATACCCCTGTGGAAGGAAGTGGAGTACTACAAAGACTACCAGAACAAACTGAGAGCCTATCTGGGTTACCAGAACGCCAACAGGATAATCAGAGAGGCACTCTATCTAATAAGCATCGGAACAAATGACTTCCTTGAGAACTACTATACACTACCCAACCGGAGGTCTCAGTACAACGTTGATCAGTACCAACAGTTCCTCGTCGGAATTGCTGAGAATTTTATCAAGGAACTTTACAGTCTCGGCGCTCGGAAAATATCGTTAGGAGGCCTTATTCCGATGGGGTGTCTGCCATTGGAGAGGACCTCAAATTTTTTCACTGGGAATGGAGGTGGGTGTAAGGAGAGTTATAACATGGTGGCTATGAATTTTAATGGCAAGTTGAGTGGTTTGGTGAAGAAGCTCAACTATGAGCTTCGTGGAGTGAAAGTGGTGTTTTCAAATCCTTATCCCATTGTTAAACAGATTATTCGGAGGCCGTCTTTATATGGTAAGTTTCTGTCCCGACTGCCATTAGTTGGTTTTGATAGATTTGGTATGAGAACCCAACGGTAGCTTAAATGGTGGCATAGACGAGCCGTAAATTCAGTTGTCATGAGTTTGAATATTGACAATTTTTTGGGATCAAACTATCCTTTCGTGAATACTCTAATTTTAACGTGGATGACTTGCCTTTGATTGAATCGGAAAGGAATTAATCGAGGTGTGCATAAACTCGTCCGAACACCCTGACTGTTGAACTAAAAAATAAAATGATAGATCTGGTGTGAGTGAAAGATATGCCACCGGTGGTGCTAAACTCATTAAGTACCAAGGGTATTACTTGAGAGAGACAGTTAATGGATTGAACCAAGAATTGAACTTTCTAACATACTATTTTTTTGCTTATGATTTCTCACTATTTCCTGTTTCATAGTGTGGAACAAATTGATTATTCGTTTACTATATATGTTGAAACAACAGGGTTCGAGGAAGTAGCAGTGGCATGTTGTTCTTCAGGATTGTTCGAGTTCGGTTACACTTGCAATCAGTACAACCCACTTACATGCGCAGATGCAAATAAATATGTGTTTTGGGACTCTTTCCATCCTACGGAGAAAACAAGTCAGATCGTCACTGATCATTTGCTCAAACGGGCCCTCCATGTGTTCTTTTAATTCGCAGCCAAGCATAATGTACAATATAGACGTGTATGTGTGTATTTTATGTTTATGAAATATGTGTAATTGTTACGGGCACTGTCACGTGATATAACCGTCTAATAATAATTTACTGAATTGAAAAAGTGGAACCCATTCATTCAAATAATTATCCCTCCATGTTAAAAATGTGAGGTTACATTACCCACTTATCTATTTGACATTAGACAGTTTGTCACGTGTTATATATAATCGTTAAATTGAATATTTATTTGTAAGTGCGGTTGCAAAAGTGTCCGGGTTGAAGTCATCTGTAATATTTGTTGCTTTTCTCTAGTCGGAATTCAGGGTTTACAACGTTGTTGATTATTTTGAAGCTATTATTTCTTGGGTTACTATTATTACTAGCGAGCGCTTCTCTCATTTTAATTTTTTTTTCTTGTCAAATGATGTGGCACATTCAATATTATTGATTAATTGGATAAAAAATATAGCTATAGTGATATGAAAAATGTACCACATCATTTTATGTAGAGAATTTAATACACAAATTTAGTAAAAGTAATGTTAGTGTTATTGTAAACATTACTAGTAATCAGTGCCTTGCTCTATTTAAGGCATATGTGTCTATTATATTGTCCTATCGTATGGTTGTTGAGAAATATTCTTATTGAAAGCACTTCCCCTCCTAATAGTCCATGTGAATGAAAAGAATAGAAAGTGAATATCAATTATATATTATTTTGGTATAATTTATTCTATATATGAGAAAGTTTATTTACAGTATACGAGAGAGTAATAAAATTTCATAGTCTAACAGATGTGAAACAAAAATATATACATTAACAGTGCAAATGAATCGAATCAAGCAGAGCGCTGGATTACTTATACTTGGCTTATTAGTTCAAAAAATTAAAACAGAATTATGATGGGTTTCAAATATTTTGTTCAAATTTGACTCGTTAATTTTATTTTTCAAAATCAAATTTGTTTGTCTTCTTAAATGAATCGAGTGTGATCGGGTTAAGCTCGCGTTTATAGCTGTGTTCAATTGAAGTTTGGCTTGCTTAAATAATTATCATCTAATATTTTAGATCTAGGAAAAATGAATATAAATATGATATACGAGTACGATATGATACGGATATAATAATACAACGAAACTTCAAAAATTAGGATACATGTATAGTCATGATACATTTATAATAAACTGTATTTGATAGTTTTACTACTCTCTAACAACTTTATAATTTTAATGATTATAATTTCAATGATTTTTTTAACAATAAAATAAAAAAAAATTAGTAATTTTTACTTTCAATAAATTATTGTCCTATCATCATGGCATATATATAAAGTGAATTTAACTTATTAAATAAATCAAAATTTAAAAATTCTTGTTGCAAAGAGATATAGTATAATTAACTCATTTTATGTTATTACTCTACATATACACTTTTGTGTATACAATGGGAAAAGTTTCTACATATGATATATATTTGACACATGTAGTACTCTAGTTTTTCACGTTTATAAAAGTAATGTTATAAAGATCTAATTTTAGGACCTAATTATTATTGGATTAATTGTGAGTTTCAATGGTAAGTGGAATCCACTTTCAATCCAATAATTATATTGAATTAGATTCCCTAATTAGGTTCGAGTAGCATTTTCCAAATGAGTGAGATTATTCCCATCACTTAAATATTTTTTTTCACCCTATTTAACTATCTTATTTCAAACGGCTAAATCCACCACATCTATGTCCACTTCACTAATATCTAACTTGTAGATCTATACCCACCCATTAAGAACTAAATTCATTCCATTCTATTTTCACCCCGTATATCTTTTAATCGCATTCCGATTTCTTGTCCGTCAGCCCCATGGTTTCTCTTCTTGCACCATCTCACAAAAAGAAAAAAAAAACAAATAACGTACGGTTTTTTACCATGAATTTTTCAAGTGACACATTTTACTAGTGTTGATTTTGTATGCCTCAAGTTATTATATATTAGGGCTTCAATGTGTATTATAGCATCAATCTTGCTTTGCATTTACTTTGTGATTACTCTAAGAAATATTTTTTTGCCTTGCACTATAACATATTGAAAAGTGATGGGTCAAGTTCAAGGGTTCAACTCATGTTATAAGCCTAGTCCGAATTTTAAGGCCCAATTCCAAGAGGTCCACCAAGTTCAGCTCAATGTAATCGATCTAGTCAAACTCATCAAGCTCAAGGAGTTACGTCAACAAGGAGCATGCAAGGTCATCTGGAAGTCTCCTCTACACCACCAAGGGAGCATCTAGGAGCCTCACTCCCACCGCTTCGAAAACATCATAAACTTCCTTGCCGTTGAGGAGAACAAAGGTCGCTAAACTATTTAATCACTATTAAAGTCACACCAATCCGTTATAACATTAAACGGCCTCAACCCCATTATGATCGTCCAACTAGCTATACAATTATTACACTAAGCCATTAGAAATTATAAGCCCCATCAACACTTGAGGGGCATCAAACTCATTTTAAGCATAATTTTCTCCTCCCTTCTCAAAGCTTGTAATCCTATACTCTCCCTCCACATCGGAGATAATAAAATTTCGGCGACCCTTGCCATTCAAAGTGGACGTAAGTCATATTGACCGAATCACTATAAATCTGGTATTCTCTCCCTCTATTTTACTGTATTTTATATTACTTAATTGATAGGTGGTATACAAACTAATTTTATGCATCATCAAAAAGAATGAAGATTGGCCTTAAGTGAGGTGAGTATAGACGGGATTGGTTTCAGTGGTTTAAAATGACTTAAATAGAGTGGGAAGAGATATTTAAGGAGTGAAAATATCTCCACTCTTTCCAAATTATAAATCTAGCAAGAACAGTCTCAACTAGTTTGGCTGCCCTTTATTTTAAAACTCATAAACATCGATGAATCCTACTATTCTAAACCACATGTTTGCTAGTTATTTTTTCTGGATGTATTGGAGGGAAAACTTCATTGATGAACACCGACAACCAATTTTTTTTTTAAGTTGTACCTATTCTTGAGATCATAAGTTTTTTGTTTTTGTTCTTGTTTCATTTTATTAAAATTGCGATCAATGACTGTAAATAGCTCAAAATCAAACAACATACTTAAAAATGGCCACCTGCTTTTGCTATGTCCATGGGTGGGTGGCTTTACAAATTAAACTAAACTACCCACCTGCTTTTGCTGTTTTCATTGACAATTTTAACCGTTTTGTAGGTTAGGTTTTAAGTCACTGTACTTTAAAAGTTCCAAGACTGGTAGAAATTTACCAATCATCAGCCTCTACGAATCAGAGAGTGTCATGTGAATCAGGTGAACATCTGTGTTTCATGTTTTTTTCTTTTGCTTTATTTTCTCCTACCTCTCAAGCTGATGATCAGATTGGTTAATGCTAATCGTGTATCCATCCAAAATATATATAGTACGATTGAAAATGAAAGTTAAATCAGTTTCAAATCATGTGATATGTTAATACTTGACAAACTCTAATATAGAGACGATCAGAGCATGACATCCCACGAATCAATTCACACAGTTTGTCAACAATTGTCTAAATAATAAAGAGGTACTAAACCACCACCTCCATTTCAGCTGGAAAGCTTTAATGGAGGTCATTTTCTGAGGACACCGTACTACATAGACTTTCTCTACTGCTCTCTCTCTCTCTCTCTCTCTCTCTCTCTCTCTCTCTCGGCGGCCAACGAGTTAAAAATGACAGAAAGATAATTAACTTGACAAAAAAAAAAAAAGAAGAAGAAATATAATAACTTGATTGCATATTGCAGGTGCTTGATGTGGAGCCTTAATCCACCATACTTTTAGATAAAAATAAGGTAAATTATACTTTGATCCTTTCAACTATAGTTCTTGTTTCGTATCATGGTCCTTTTAACTATTAAGTTTTCACATTGTACCTTAACCTATGGCTATTCGTTTAACATTACTTGAATGATTAACATCGGAGTACAATTTTGACGAACATTGTTCTCACTTGGCTTTCGAACTATGTGCTTTGATATTTTTCGTGCCTAATATAACAATCGTTTGTTTTTAAGGCAATGTAAAACCGATAATAATGGTCGGGGGGGCAATGCAAGACTTTAATAATTCAAAGGACAAAGTTAAATGGAAGCCATAGTTGAAGAGCCAAAATGTAATTTTCACTGGAAGTGATTAGTGGCCTTTTTTTTCTTTTTTTTTGGGTACATTGGAAAGTATTAGTGGCCTATGTTGAATCATTGTAGATTGATTAATACCTCAATATTTTCTTTCCATTAATTTCATGTGTTTTTTGTCAACCCAAAGTAAGTGAGCGGGTCTTCTTGTCAACTATCATGTCTCCTATATTTAATACAATAAAGACATCATGTTACTATTGACTCTTCATACCACAAAATAATGATAAAGTGATATTATCATTATCTTTACCTAAAAAACAAAAATATTTTTAAAAAATATTAAAAAAATTAAAAATATATTTCTAAAATATTTTGAAATATTAGTTTAAATATATCAAAATATCTTAAAATACCTTAAAATATTCTCAAACAATAATATTGAAAATATGTCGAAAATTCTCCAAACATCTTGAAATATTAGAGTTTCGATTTCATTACCGATTCCTTTCAGTCTTACCAAAAACGAAAACATTTTGACAAATTCAAAACACAATTTTGATCCTTGATTTTATAGTCTCATCCACTTTTCAAATTTTATTGTCATTTTAATATAATAGTAAGTTGAGCACCTTAAAATATCAAAATTTGGAGTTGGACCACATACATTCCATATTTTTTTGTCNAATGACAGAAAGATAATTAACTTGACAAAAAAAAAAAAAGAAGAAGAAATATAATAACTTGATTGCATATTGCAGGTGCTTGATGTGGAGCCTTAATCCACCATACTTTTAGATAAAAATAAGGTAAATTATACTTTGATCCTTTCAACTATAGTTCTTGTTTCGTATCATGGTCCTTTTAACTATTAAGTTTTCACATTGTACCTTAACCTATGGCTATTCGTTTAACATTACTTGAATGATTAACATCGGAGTACAATTTTGACGAACATTGTTCTCACTTGGCTTTCGAACTATGTGCTTTGATATTTTTCGTGCCTAATATAACAATCGTTTGTTTTTAAGGCAATGTAAAACCGATAATAATGGTCGGGGGGGCAATGCAAGACTTTAATAATTCAAAGGACAAAGTTAAATGGAAGCCATAGTTGAAGAGCCAAAATGTAATTTTCACTGGAAGTGATTAGTGGCCTTTTTTTTCTTTTTTTTTGGGTACATTGGAAAGTATTAGTGGCCTATGTTGAATCATTGTAGATTGATTAATACCTCAATATTTTCTTTCCATTAATTTCATGTGTTTTTTGTCAACCCAAAGTAAGTGAGCGGGTCTTCTTGTCAACTATCATGTCTCCTATATTTAATACAATAAAGACATCATGTTACTATTGACTCTTCATACCACAAAATAATGATAAAGTGATATTATCATTATCTTTACCTAAAAAACAAAAATATTTTTAAAAAATATTAAAAAAATTAAAAATATATTTCTAAAATATTTTGAAATATTAGTTTAAATATATCAAAATATCTTAAAATACCTTAAAATATTCTCAAACAATAATATTGAAAATATGTCGAAAATTCTCCAAACATCTTGAAATATTAGAGTTTCGATTTCATTACCGATTCCTTTCAGTCTTACCAAAAACGAAAACATTTTGACAAATTCAAAACACAATTTTGATCCTTGATTTTATAGTCTCATCCACTTTTCAAATTTTATTGTCATTTTAATATAATAGTAAGTTGAGCACCTTAAAATATCAAAATTTGGAGTTGGACCACATACATTCCATATTTTTTTGTCCATTCATATGATTTAGGTCTCCGGTTTGAACTTCCTGCCTCTCTGCAGCTACAAAAGGTGGCTGTTAAGTTTTGTCTGCCACTCAAAAGTTGGTGAAGTCAACCAACAAATTAATTACTACCGCTCAAAAGTTGGTGAAAGTATGATATCTATTTCAAATTTATAATTTAAATTTATGTTCTCAAATTAAGGAAGACAATTAGATCAGTAAGTCTCATTTAAAAAAATTGATAGAACCTACTAATTTAATAATTCACATTGATTTGAGACGTAAATTTGAATTACAAATTTAAAATACATAACACTACTCTTTACCTTTATCGATTCACATGTACTAAAGCAATCCAATTCACTGAATGGCTCTACACAACACCAGAATATGTGTCACCCACTTAATATTAAACAAACAACTCAGTAAAAACCTTCTTTTTTTTTTTTTTTTTGTAGCGCTAATCTGACCAAAAACAGAGATTCATATCAAAATATTTGCTTTTTTTACTTTTTTAAACGTTTTTACAGGGAAGAAAACGGTTTGAACATACGATCTAAAAATTCAACAGCAGGCTATAGTGGTCATTAAGCATTTAAGCCAACGCTGATCCTTGCCTATACCAAAATTTACTTATCGGATCAGTTGTCAAGTCATTTAATTGTTTGATCTTATTTTTCAGTCAAGAGTAATTAATTACTCTTTTTTTTTTTGGGTACTTCCTCATGAGATGTGTGCATTCTTTTATGTTGCTCAAAATCTCATGAAGAATTCACTCTGCTTAGTTGCCTGTCCTTCTCAAGCCTAACTAGGCCATGCATTTTAAAGTCAAGGACACATGGTACCACTCTTTAAAACTTCAACAAACTCTTCAGTTTCATCAATGACTCTCGGATCTTCTTCTCACCATTATATATTTGTCGCAAACCCTTTTCCCCCTCCATCTGCAATTTTGTTACAGACACCTGTGTGTGTGTGTGTGTGTGAGAGAGAGAGAGAGAGAGAGAGAGAGAGAGAGAGAGTGGCATACATGTACATACCATGGCTACTCATAACTCAAATCCTAATGCTTTGTGGAAACAGTGAAGCCAAAATTCCAGCCATAATAGTGTTTGGAGACTCTTCTGTTGATGCAGGGAACAACAACCAGATTCCAACAATTGCTAGGAGCAATTTTGAGCCCTATGGTCGTGACTTTTTGGGGGGCCAGCCGACGGGACGTTTCTCGAACGGCCGGATTCCCACGGATTTCATCTCTCAAGCAGTTGGTCTCAAGCCCACTGTGCCTGCCTACTTGGATCCAGCCTATAGTATCTCAGATTTTGCCCTTGGAGTTAGCTTTGCTTCAGCTGGAAGTGGTTATGATAATGCAACTTCTGATGTGCTAGTAAGTCCCCATCGAACTTGATTACATTTTTCTAGGCATCTATAAAAAGTATTAGTATGTTTCACTTTTTAATAGAATAATAGAGTCGAGCGGGATTTATATATATATATTTTTTCGGCCCTCGCAATTGGCATCTCTCACATGGGAAAGAAGAAAGGATTTTTCTTTAATTGGGCAATCTCTAAAAGTCATTTATATCCAGGTAAATTACATTTTATATTTCGAAAGATTTAAGAATTTTTATTTTATATTTTCAAAAATTAAATTTTTCACACTGCACTTTTAATGTATTAAAAGTATTATAATGTACCTCTTTCGTTAGCTTCTATTATTCATTCTGTCAACGTCAGTCGGGTGAAGTTCATGAAAGGGTCATATTGTAACAATTTTAATATATTAAGAGTGTATATGATAAATTTAATTTTGAGGGTATAAAGTGTGAATAATAATTTCCCCTAAATTAAAATCATAATATTGATATTATTTTTGCAAATGGTGAGTGATGACTCTGGATCTTCAAAGCCTTCAACTAAATCATAAGCAGTTTTTAAATTTATTTTAAAAATAAAAAATAAAAAAAGACCCACTTATTTTGGTATATAGATCAATATTATAAAACTCAAATAAAACCCAAAAACCATATCATCATCTGGATGAACAATTCTCACCAATTTTTTAATGGAACCCATTCATCTAAGAGATGATAGGTATTTGAATTTTATCTGGGTTACGTAGTATTTTCCTACGTTAATTATCCCTAAACTTTTACAAAATTTTCAGCAAGGGCAAGTTTTCTAGAATTTTAAATGAACCCCAAAACTTTTTTAAAATGTCCCCCCCCCACCCTTTTTTCTACCTTTTAAAACCACCTACACCCTAGTACCCTACCATGCAATGCATCAAAACTAGTCAAAACTCGATTTCTTGTATACGTACGACTGCTTTCCTTCTAATGGTTGCATTTTTGCAGTCTGTGATACCTCTATGGAAAGAATTGGAGTACTACAAGGATTATCAAAGGAAACTGAGAGCCTTTCTTGGAGAACAGAAGGCCCATGAAACAGTTACTGAGGCATTGTACGTGATGAGTTTAGGGACAAACGACTTCCTGGAGAACTACTACACTCTCCGGGATCGGCGATCCCAATTCACCGTCGACCAGTACCAAGATTTCCTGATCGGGATCGCCGGGACATTCATTACAAACCTCTATGGTCTCGGAGCAAGAAAAATATCCCTCGGAGGACTTCCTCCAATGGGTTGTTTGCCACTGGAAAGGGCAACGAATTTTGCCAATGGGAATGAATGTGTGGAGAGCTACAACATTGTGGCAATGAGTTTCAATGACAAGTTGAGAGGTTTAGTGATGAAGCTAAACAGAGAGCTGGCTGGTATTAAGTTGGTGCTGTCCAACCCCTACTACGTTCTTCTGCATATTATTCGAAAACCAGCATTTTATGGTAAGCAAAATTTGAATTTTAAATGAGTTTCACGAACACCGTCATGTAAGCTTAATGCTGTTGGGTCATTTTTCTTTTTTGTTTGCCTAGCATTAACCTCTAGTTTCAAACCAAATTAGGAGTTTCCCCGAGAGTCGAGGAATTTCAGATCTCAAGACAGTACATCATTATATAATTTTTTCATCCAAAGTATCTTGACGGTTTCTCCACTTGTTTTAGTTACTCCCTCTAGTTTCATGGTGCGGAGAGAATATTCATCAACCAATAATAAAATCTCAAATGAAAAAAGTAAATCTCAATTAAATAGTTATTGATTTACATAGAAGAAGAGTGAACGGTTAGCTATTTACACGGATGGATAGTTATTAGCGTGTGTAAAGTCCACTTCCTTATTTATCTGCGTATTATTGATTAGTTATATTACAAAACAATGCTAATATGGCACAATGAATATTTTTTCCATAGTGAGTCACTTTTTTTATTCTAACTATGGTGTTTATGTCTGGCCATTCACTTTAAAACTCGCGGGCCGAGCCGGGCCGGTCTGCACCGAGCATTTTTTAAGACCAAACCAGGATGCGGACCGGGCTGCTTGGGTTTGACCATCCAATGAGCCAGCCCGTTAGAAAATACTGAGGCCAAGACCTGCCCAACTGGCCGACAGGTGACCCCTGTTTTGTTAGGGAAGACTAAATGTCTTACCCGCCGGGCTAATTGGCTACCAACGGCCCGCCACAAGGTTGGTCACTTTGTCCTTCTAAGTAGAGTGTTTATGTCAAGAATATGAGTCACACAAATGACAATCAAATGCACTTGCAAAACTTTCACCTGGGTTCGGAAATGGGCTGAGCCAGGTCAGCCCCAATCAAGATAGGATAGACTACTCGAGCTTTCACAAGCCAATGGACCATCCCGTAAAAAAACACCCAGGCCCTCCATCCTCCAGGCTAATGGACTATCCACGTCCAGCCACAGGATGGGCCAAGTTGTCCATTATTCCTGTGCCCATCGTAATACAAACTATTTCCAAACCCTAGTTTTAACTTTCAACTACCCCTAACCCTCGAGTCAAAAAGGAAAAATAATCAAAAGTCCAAGTAGATGCTTTTTTAAGTCATTAAGTCCATTTGGTTGTTGATTTGCAGGGTTTGATATGACAGCAATGGGATGTTGTTCCACAGGGATGTTTGAGATGGGCTATACATGCAATCAATACAACCCTCTCACATGTACAGATGCCAACAAATTCGTATTTTGGGATGCCTTTCACCCAACAGAGAAAACAAACAAGATCATCTCAGATCATATGGTTAAGACTGCTTTGTTCAAGTTTCTTTGATAAATAAGGTTCAGGCTGTGCTGCGATATTCTAATAATTATGGGCTAAAAAATGGATAACTTAAACTTAAGAGGGCTTAATGTTATTATACGATGAAGTTTGATTATTGCTGTTTTTATTTTAGCCCCTCCAGTGCTGTGATATTCTGATGGAGAGCTGATTATCTGTAATTAATGTTATTGTGATCTAGATCGAATAAGACGATCTTATTATTTATTAATCAGCTTTCTTTGATTTATATATGGTTTCTCAAGTTTCAATAGCAAAAATAATGGGGCTAGTAATGAATTTTGAACCCTTTTATTTGTACTAATGACAATATCTCACAACGGCTAAATTCACCTCAAACGAAATAATCAAAATGTTTGCCCAAGGTTGTCAAAACCAGCTGGTGCATTCTTTTCAATTTGACTCGAATTCTAGACCTGATCTTCAATTCTACACTGGTTAATGTTGTAATGGGCGAAGTCTTTCTATGCTCTATCCCTTTTTTTCTTTTAAAATGTCATGTAAATACTTAATCCATTGAAATACAATAGTTTTCTTCAACTTTGAATTATAGTATAGTTAGCTGAAAAACAGATCATCTGTTGTACAGCAGCAGGAGTGTTGTACACAAAACACATCATTTCATATGTAAAACGGTTTCATTTTGAAGAACAACACCGCTGTTGTACAGCAGATGATTCGGACTCCGGTTAGCTGATATCATGGCTCGTTACTTGGTGTAAATATACATTCTGAAAAAATTGGGTAGTCCCCTAAAGTTAGTATGATTCATCATTCATGTTTTCTAAAGTGGTCAATGGCCAATATTGACTTACCACTATGTGGTTGATTGTTTATATAAGAACCAACAACCAAAATTATTTGTATGTGACAACCAACAACCAAAAGTTAGGTGATGAGAATTTGTGAAGTGTCTAATCTATGTATCTCTCTAGTATCACTTGGTTTAAAAACCTCATTAGACTACATATGTAAAAAAACTCTATTTTTTATGTGACACAAAGCGGACAATATCACATGCAATAATTGATAGACCCTTTTTTTTGTTTTGAGCAGCTATATACGAATGCAATAAAGGGTCCAATTATAATGCCCAAGAATAAATACCTTCACTTAGTGGCGAAGCCAGAATTCAATTTAGAGTGGATACTTTAATTTTAAAATTTAATTAATATTTTTCAATCAATAAACATATAATGATAAATTTACATTTGTTTTGATAGAAGTCAATTATTGAAAATTAAAAATTAATTGTAGGTCAATTACAAGTAATTTCACGTTTAAATTAAGAGGACAAATAAAAAAAATCATAAATTATACCCAAAAATATATTTTACCACAATTAAATACACTAAACTAAAAATCAAAGACCGGTTTGAGCACATAGTTTAAAAAGTAAAAAAAAAAAAAACCTTTTAGGCAAGAAATATGAATAAAAAGACTCAAAAAATTAGTAAAAGTGTCATATATTAATCATACTTTTGATTCAACATATTAATCCTAAAAATTAGCAGAAAAATTCATATAAAAAAGACGCTAAAAATTACAAAATAATTATATATTTTATAACTTAATAATCCTACTTTTGGTTCAATATATAAAGTAGCTCGTAATTTTTAAAAAAAAAATTTTACAAAATGAGTTGCAATATGTCCAAATTATATTTGAACATGCCTAAAGTGTATCCATAACATGTCCAATTATTTTGTGTTAGCTTATACAAAATAGTCATAACCCGTGTCTGAAGACACGACAAAATATAAAATTCGAGTGCCCAAACAATCAATCTCACTGTATTAAATTTTTTCAACATGTGTATATTATTATATATAAATAATATTTGAAATAAAAATTATATTAATTATAAATTAATTAAATATTAAATAATTAAATATATAATAGAAATGAGTGATGTGATGTTTTTAAGAAAAAAATATATAAATAAATAAACATGTGATAAAAATAAGGGAAGCGACTTGACGTTTGAGTCTAATAGAGGGATGATGAGTGAGGTAAATAATTGATGATGCTTTTGAAGGAAAAAAATATGACTGAAATAAAAGTCAAATTATAAGTTGTTTTATTATATAGATATTGGTGTAGAGTTTTATTATATAGATATTAGGGTGGAGACAATAAAATTATTTTAAAAAATATATAATAATATTTATCACTTTGAACCTCTGCCTTCACTTTCATCTAATAAAAGCAAGACTTCTGCAAATTTTTATTATTTTCTAATATTTTTCATTATTTATTATTTTTCATGATTTTGTGGAATTTGCATGATAGACATGAAAATAGAAAGAAAGAGAAAAAGAAGTTCAATTACTTACCTTTGGTTAGTTCGGCTGCATACCTTGAACGGAGAAAATTACAAGTACACGACGACGGCTTTTGGGCCTTTTGGCTCTGCCTAGAATGCCCAAACATCAAAATTATCGACACCATCGGACTGATTTGTTTGGTCTTTGGAGGACTTTTGTATTAATGCGGCTCTGAAACTTCGACACCCATTCCACTACGCACGCTACAGCCAATCAATTGTTCCCTTATACCTCCTTAACATTTTTAAAAGATCCGAAGTCAGTAAATTTAAATTTAGTTTTGACAAAGTTGATTGATAAATGGGTAAATCTATTAAACTCACCAAATAAAAAAGTTGAACACAAACCCGTGGCATGAATTTAGTTAAACACAACATGTACACGATATGAGCTCTATTATACACATTCATGAACGAGTTGATTTTGAATTAGGTAATTTTTAGCACCATACAACTTATATAACTTATGTCCGGTAACCCTATTGTTTTGGCAGCTGGGAAAGAGCATACAAACTTATCTAGAAATTTCTTATAGCTTGAATATGTTTTGTTATTATCACAACACTACATCATTGCTTACGAAAGAGGGTGGGAAAAACTAGAGGATACGGAAATTTTGAGAAAAAGCTCTTTGTTCCCATCCTTATACACCATGAGATTGAAAAAGGGATTCTCCATTATTAAGAATATGCAAAGTGAGTAATTGGACGCCTATTCACTCTTCTTCTTTTTTTTTTTTTTTTTTGCTATAAGATTTTCAAGTTTGTACCGATTATTTTATCAAGCTTATTGGCTGGCCATCGTAACTTGAGCCGAGTTAGAACATGTCTCCCTAAAAGAATAAGGGTGACTAGCTTTTAAGAGATATGAGAATAAATTGAACATGAAACTTATGGATTATTAAAGATTAAGTTCAACCATTAGACCACCCCTTACTAAGTCACCTTATACCCGTAAAGTAATTTTTATAGTATTTGAAGTTGGTGGATTCTGGTCCATCTCAAATCTTTTTTTAAAAGAAAATTTTTAACGATAGATCACTCGTCATAATATAAAAGAGTTTAATGTATAGAAGTGAGGTTTTTTATTAATAAATGGTGAGTGATTTATCAATGAACCAACTTCCATTCATTAGATTTGAGTAAAGTGAGGACAGGGAAGCCTCATGCACAAATTATAGAAACTTAGCATAAGAATCTGCTTGCTACATTATAATCATTGAGAAGTGCATGGCCCCATCCAACTTTTTTTGGATTCCTCTGTACAATATTTTTGAATCTCTCTAACAATCATAACCAATTACTTAAAGTTTGTACGCACGTAACACTCAGACTTTTGCTATAAATATATCCATTAGTAAATTACATTCAGACTCCCTGAAGTTTGTAAACATATATTACTTATATCCCTTAAGTTTAAAATGTTATATTTAGACCAAAAATACTTCAATTAAAGATAGAATATTAAATATTTTAAATTTTACAATTAAAATTTATGTTTTATTGTATCATTTATTGAAATAAAATAAAAAATTCAAATTCAAATTTTTTTTAAAAAAAAATCATAATTAGTATACAATTATATTGTTTATTAGAATTTAATTTGGCCGTTTAAACAACCAAATTAAAATGTCAAACTATCTCAATTGAAGTTAAAAGATATTGTATTAATTATAATTTGACCCCTTCTTTAATTTTTTAGTTTTATTCTAATAGATATTATATAATTGTATTCTAACTATTCTTTTTTTAAAAAAAATTAAATTTTTATTTTTGATTTTATTTAAATAAATGACATAATAGAACATGAATTTTGGTTGCAAAATTCATGTTCTATTAAGAATGACTTAGATCCCTCGGTTGATTTTTTAGTTTTATTCCAATAGATAATATAATTGTATACTTATTACAATTTTTTAAGAAAAAGTTGAATTTTTATTTTTGATTTTATTTCAATAAATGATACAATATAACATAAATTTTGGTTGTAAAATTTAAAATATTTGATATTTTATATTTAATTGAATTATTTTTGGTCAAAGTATAATATTTTAAATTTAAAAAGCCTAAGTATTATATGTGTATAAACTTCAAAGAAATCTAGGTGTAATTTATTAACGGATATATTTATAACAGGGGTTTAAGTGTTATGCGTATACAAATTTTAGGAGATTTATGTGTAATATTTTAAATTTGAGAGGATCTAAATAATTAAGTGACAAACTTTAAGAGGTCTGCGTGTAATTCTCCCTTAATAGAAAGTTTGGTACTTATTAATGGCACTCTTACCACGTAAATGAATTAAGTAGTAAATTGTTTGTTAATGTTTTTAATGACTTATTAGAAGGCTACTAAGCTTTCTTGGTTCAACCAAAAGTTAACCACACGCTCCTAAAGCAGCGTGATGCTCTGAGTTTCTCACTCTGTCTACTTCTAAACAATTTCAAAGTAGACCAAAGACAATATTTTCAAACTTACAAACTCTTCAAATTATTCCAAACTTTCAAACCTGCCTCAACCAAAAACAAAGAACCCAAAAGCTTTGAGAGAGAGAATCAAAACTCAGGCATGAAGAAGCTCTACAGCAAAAGTAGAATACACCCATCATCACAGCCGGCCATCGCCGATCATCTCTCTCTCCTTCCGGCAACGATTCTGACTCTCACGGTGGCTCTATCGCCTGAAGACAAACAAGTCTTGGCCTACCTCATCTCATGCTGTAGCAACAACTCCAAAAACTTTTCCGGCCACCGCAAGACTACCCAAAAGAGCGGCCGTGGCGGTGGCGGTGGCGGAGGTGGTGGTGGAGGAAGTGGCGGAGACCACCCTCCTCAATTTGACTGCAACTGTTTTAGGTGTTATATGAGTTATTGGGTACGTTGGGACAATTCACCTGATCGTCAACTGATACATGAAATCATAGACGCTTACGAAGAGGGGTTGTATCAGAATCAGAAGAAGACTGTGAAGAACAAGAAACAGAGAAGAAAGAGAGTGTGTAACTTATCGGATGATCATGAAACCCTTGACTCATCCAGTGAGTCAAACTCAGTAGAAATGAATTGCAGTGGTGATGTTCATGTTGATCATCAGGTTTGTGGTGAAGATGGTGGGGAAGTGGGTTTGGAGAGAGGGTCAGTGAAGAAGCTTGTGAGTTTCATTGGAGAGAAGATCTGGAGGGTCTGGGGTATATGAAAATATAGTGATCTATGAATAGAAAGTGCTGAGTTTTTTTTTTTCCTTTTTCTGTTTCACCACAAAGAAGGAATTGTTCTTTGTTCCACCAATCCTCCCCCATTTTTCTTCATTAAGATGGGTTTAGAGTTATTATTAGTATGGCTTTTAATTTTTATCCAGGTATTAAACTAAGATCTATGTGTTGATCAGACAAATACCATGGAGTACTGTATATTCAGATTCTGATTAATTACCAAAACCTTAACCATCAGAGGTTTTTCTTTTGATGAGTTCTTGTGATCATGGGCAAGTGTTTGATTTTTCATTTTTTTTTTTACTTATGTTTGTGTTGTATTTAGGCTTATTAGATGCAAATGGCTCAACCTTTAGGGTGGTTCAACGGTCAAATTGGTCTTCTTTCATGTAAGAGTCTCACATTCAATATTTTTCACAATTCTTAAGAGTCAATCATTCCTCTTCTTTAGAAGATATGTCTTTAAATTGACTTAAAGTATGGTGGCTAACTCAAAACTCGAGAAATTAATCGACCCTATTTGGAAGACAATGTAAAAAAAAAAAAAAAAAAGATGCAAATGGGTCTTAAAACTTGCTTTTACCTATACTTCTGTGCTTCTTGTTCCCTTTCTCTGTCTTAATTCCTTTGAAACTCAGTCAAAAAACTTGCGTTTTGTGCTACACTCTTGTCTTGTGTGTGGATTAATTAATTAACAGCAAACTAAGCCAAAAGGAAAAGAAAAAAGTAGAATGTAATTTTATCATTACTCCAAGAAGAAGTGGTTGTGATCAATGTATAGCAAGGCAACTTTTCTACTTAAGTAAGTTAAATAAATAAAAGAAGCTGAATATTTCGTCGTCCCGAAATCCTATTTGTTGGTTTTTTTTTTAATAAATTTAGAAGATTAATGTCATGAATTGATAAAAACATTCATCCTAAACTTTTTTGTTAATATCGGTGTCATCTTGTTCATGGTTAATAACTAACCAATCATTGCTTCTATCAATTAGAAATCCTAATGGAGTATCTTTGGTATAAGCCATAATAACTAGGATTAATCATTACTTTATTTAGATTTTTTATTATATCCTCCGCCCCCCCCCCCCTTTTGTGGGTTTGGTGTTCATTATATTAATTTTATTAATTTGGCCCTCAAAGTTTTAATTTATGTCACTTTAGTCCCTAATCAAATAATTCGTTAATTTTTTTTATAGAAGTGACAATGTATCATTCTTTCAAATGATATCACGTGTCCAATACGTGATTATTCCGTCAAAAATTTAATATATCATCTATGTATGAACTATTTAAACACGAATTAGATATTTTAAAAATTAAATTAATAAAATTGATACTTTAGAGATCAAATTAATAAAATATGCATATTTTAAAATTTAAAAATTCTATTAACCCTAATAACAAATGTCAAATGCCATGCTTGACGGCCTATTTCCCTGGACTAAAAAGAGTCAACATGCGGACAATTTAGTTTTCTAAAACCCATTTGTTACGACACAATAATATTTTGCTTTTCCAAGTTTGAAACAATAGAATTTTTAATTCAATATTGCTACACTGATCAACATTATTGATTAAAAAAAGTGACTCTAAATGACATAACGGCTCACGTAAAAAATTGACTAAATAACATGGCGGCTAACGTGGAGTCTAATTAGTCTTTCGCGTTAGCCGTCATATCATTTGGTCACTCTTTTTTATTTTTATTTTTTATTAGTGTAACATTATTGTTTTCAATTACATAGTTGTTTTAATATTAGAGTGAGTATTAAATCCTAACCCCCAATTGCATGATAAATTTATGACCATGAAGACTTTATAGTATGACAAGGAAATCTCAGTATACATGGACGTAACATTTACTGACTCAAACTTCTAGGTCCGGTTGTCTTCAAATTTGTATATGAAAAGTCCATTATTTATGAACTCCTTGTTGTCTACGGCAATTGATATTAGAATTTCTTGTTATACATAACTCTCCGATTAGTAAAACGAAATCTAGTTTGAAAAAGCACAATAATGTGTGAGCTCTTGGAGTTGTGATGGATTCTTGAAAGAACAAACTCAACCCAATAAATAATTCAAGTGTTAAGAGGAATGAACCGTAAATTCAAACATCTTGAATTCAAAATTTAACAACTCTTTAAGGTCAGATTATAAGAGATTTATCTCTTATAAATACCCTAATTGTGGCATGGATGATCTATCTTTGACCTTATCGGAAAGAGAATTAATTAAAATGTGAATAAGCTGGCTTAGACATCCTCTGACCATTAAACTAAAAAACTAAGAACTTAGTTTGATATACATGGGTAAATAAGAGAACAAAGTTAGTTTGATATACATGGATAAACTCTAAGATTGTTCAAATAGTAATAAGGAGTTGTACATTGAGAAGTCTTGAGTTTAAATTTTGTCAATCATTTGAGAGTCACGCAATGAGGGATAAATGTCATGAATATCTTAGTTCTAACATAAATAACTTATTTTTGTCTTAATCAAAAAATAAAATTAATCGAAATATACATAAAAAAACACGGACACCTTGAAACATGGGTAGACCCGAAGTCCTAAACTTGAACTTTGGGGTGGAGTAAACTTCCGAATAAGTTTATGATTATCTATTGTTGGACGTCGATAGTTCTGTTTGGGACTGAATTTTTTTTTTATATTTTGACATATTCAATTGTTCTTCATTTGAACATGTCAAAGGTAAAAGTTGGGTGTCTCACATCAACCGAGCCAGGGATAAAGACCGATACAAAGACCAAAAGACTTTTGACCTTTTCTCATTTGAATTCTCAGTTACATTTTTTTTTTAAGTCAGAAATTGTGAGTTAAATTGATTCTTTGACATTAAGAGCTGAGAAAGATTTTCTTTCAAGTATTTTTTTTTCTCCATTTTTTAATCATCTAAACTCAAGTGAAATAAATTTATTTTTAAAATATTTTGAAACATTAGTTAAAATATAGGGTGAATTTCACTCTATACCCTGTAAGATTTTAAATTTTTCACTTTTTACCCTCAAATATTAAATTTTTTATATTACATCCTAATGTATTAAAAGTGTAATAATATTACATTTTCTGTTAACTTTTCATTAATTTTTTCATCGATGTCAATGAGTTAATTTTTGACAAAAATAAAATAGAAATTAGGGTCACATTTCAATACTTTAAGTAGCCTCTTTTTCTGTTGTTGGCCAGCCTTCAAATATAATGGTTAGCTCAGATAAGTGTACTTCAAGCTATTCAAACAGATCCAGTCCACAGTATTGATGTGTTACTGGATTGGTACTTCAAGTTCTGTCCCTTGACACAGCTTGCTTGCTTGCTTGGAAGCCATGACAAAGCTTTTATCCTCATCGTACCGATTCCATTGACGGTCGATTGATGACAACAATAGATTTGGTCAGTAGTGTTATTATTGAAGAAAAATAAACTAGAGTTAAAAAATAAAAATAATTTTTTTTCAAGAATTATCTTATATCATTAGAAGGGAAAAAGAGATAAGCAAGTGTGATTTTTTGTGTGGGTATGAAAATGAGTATGATAATAAAAACAAACACGCACACACGACAGATGGGTGATTATGGTGTCCTAATGTGTTTAAATAAAAATTAAAATTAAAACAAAAGCAAAGACATAAGCAAATATGTTCGCCTCTATATAGGATTTCAATCTCCTTTAATCGATTTTCTTTTAATTTTATTCTACAATAGACCATACATAGTGTATTACTATTAATAGTGTTGTTGTAATCAAAGATCAAAATTTTATTTTGAAACGGTTAAAACATTTATAATATTTTTCGCTTATAAGAAGACCGAAACCAACTAGTTATGCAATCAAAATTTCAATAGTTTAAGGTGTTTTTGAATGTTCTGACGTGTTTCCACATTGTTTTGGAATGCTCGGAGATGTTTTGATATATTTGAGACTTTTTGCACTTTGCACCCTAAACAGATTTTAAAATTTTTATTTTGTACCCTCAAAAATTAAAATCTTTATATTGTACTATTAATGGCATCTAGGAGACAACGACCCGACTGCAGATGATAAATGGTTACGACCAACTAGATGACTTACTCTACAAAGACGACAAAATATGTCGGGCAAAGAAATACATCTCGCGGTCCTTCATGACACTAGAGTTGGATTAAACTTTAGAGTTGATCAAACTCTAGCTCACCTGGAAAAGTGTTGTGGTCTTGCTATGGCTCTGGCGCTGAAGGGCCCCTCGAGTCCTCCTAGCAAGATACAATAAGAAGATTATAAACGCATTTGAGCGCCTTTTTTCCGCGACAATATATGGACACTAAGATTAGTGTTATAAGTCGAACCAGGACATATTCAACCTCACGGCTAACCAGCATCACTTTTTCCGCTAATCTAATTGCAGCAACAAATTAAGTAAATCCTGTCTAGGCTTATTTTATTTGTTTAATTATTTGATTGGTAAAAGGATGATTCCATTGATAAAAAAAAAAAAAANAGATAAGCAAGTGTGATTTTTTGTGTGGGTATGAAAATGAGTATGATAATAAAAACAAACACGCACACACGACAGATGGGTGATTATGGTGTCCTAATGTGTTTAAATAAAAATTAAAATTAAAACAAAAGCAAAGACATAAGCAAATATGTTCGCCTCTATATAGGATTTCAATCTCCTTTAATCGATTTTCTTTTAATTTTATTCTACAATAGACCATACATAGTGTATTACTATTAATAGTGTTGTTGTAATCAAAGATCAAAATTTTATTTTGAAACGGTTAAAACATTTATAATATTTTTCGCTTATAAGAAGACCGAAACCAACTAGTTATGCAATCAAAATTTCAATAGTTTAAGGTGTTTTTGAATGTTCTGACGTGTTTCCACATTGTTTTGGAATGCTCGGAGATGTTTTGATATATTTGAGACTTTTTGCACTTTGCACCCTAAACAGATTTTAAAATTTTTATTTTGTACCCTCAAAAATTAAAATCTTTATATTGTACTATTAATGGCATCTAGGAGACAACGACCCGACTGCAGATGATAAATGGTTACGACCAACTAGATGACTTACTCTACAAAGACGACAAAATATGTCGGGCAAAGAAATACATCTCGCGGTCCTTCATGACACTAGAGTTGGATTAAACTTTAGAGTTGATCAAACTCTAGCTCACCTGGAAAAGTGTTGTGGTCTTGCTATGGCTCTGGCGCTGAAGGGCCCCTCGAGTCCTCCTAGCAAGATACAATAAGAAGATTATAAACGCATTTGAGCGCCTTTTTTCCGCGACAATATATGGACACTAAGATTAGTGTTATAAGTCGAACCAGGACATATTCAACCTCACGGCTAACCAGCATCACTTTTTCCGCTAATCTAATTGCAGCAACAAATTAAGTAAATCCTGTCTAGGCTTATTTTATTTGTTTAATTATTTGATTGGTAAAAGGATGATTCCATTGATAAAAAAAAAAAAAACAAATTGCAGTAGGAAAACCTGTACCTGAGAAACAAACAAGCCATGTTCCATGGGCTAATGATACCACTACAACTAAAATTAGTTGCATTGCCATATGCAACCAAAATATTTTGCCAAAACGACCTGTATCCAACATTTCAACATTGAAATTAACCCGAAAATTGTTGTTTTGCAAGAAAATTTTTCGATTACGAAAACAGTTGTTATAATACAACCACCATCTAGTGATTCTAAAGTGTAACACAATGCCCTAACACCAAAATCGTTCGTAAACCAAATTCTCAATTCTTTTACCTCCACAGTGTCATACTCCGCGAAATTAGAACTCATCCTTGCTAACAGTTTCTTCCCCCATAAGTTCATCAAGGGAGAACTCGTCTTCTTCAATGATTTGTCCATCTTTACCGTCCCAGGGTTCGCTCTTCACAATCACAGGGGTTCCCCCTAGAGGCAGATTACCCTTTCCCCCATGTCCAGCTTCTTTTACAAATTCTCTGAAAACCCAAATTGTTCGTTTTCATGCTCAATTCATTTTAAAACAATTGCATTCAAATGATGAAGGAATTAAAGTACTTACACAATCTGGTCACGCTCAAATGCACTCCGAAGTGCTGTGTATGCTCCTTTCTTCACATTCATTGCTACCAAAGCTGGATACCCATATCCACCAACCCGTACATGCTTTTCAAGATCTGGTTGCTTACCTGCAGCTGCCCAAACATAGCTGCAAAATTTTTCAAGACAAACTATTAGTAAGAGTCTTTTGAAAACCAATTAAGCAATAGAAATCCCTTGTTTCTCCCAGCACTTTGAAGATGTGTAAAACATATGAGATCCGAAAGTCAGTTGCATTCTTGCCTGTATGGACTCCATTTGAACTTCTCTGCAACTGATAACAACAACTCTAGATACTTGTTCCTTCCCTCTGCCTTGGTGTCCAAAATGTCAGGGAAGAAGGCAACAAAACAGATGGCAGCTGAACCGCATTTCTCTTCCATGACGTCCTTTATGGAAAAATCAGAACACAGTTTTATCCTTCCGTAATTAAAAATTTAGAGAAAACGAAACTTTGATTGGTAGATCAAAACTTACCGGTCCAGTCAGCTCAGTCACTTCAGGAGGTGAAACGTTTGCTTCTAGCTGCTCCAATGCAAAGGATTCAATTGCAGAAGCAGATCTTGCACCTTCATAAGGGGAAGGACTGTCTTTGTCACCGCCAAACACTAAGATAGTGGGGAAACCTTTCACATTGAATCTGCTCATTAAAGACTGGTAACTCCACCCCATTAGTAGAACCATGCAATTTTGTATAGCAAAGAAGGAGCATGCAATTAGAATTCAATTTTAATATCCTAAATGATGGTTTTTTGTCATTTGAACCCCAATATCTGTATACTCAAATTTATTGCTTATACTGGACATCTTCAACTTTCCAACCCAAATCTAAGATGTCAAAAATCGGTTGGCAAAAGTAAAGATAAGTCAGTTAGTTATACATAGTGATTATTTCTTACGGAACAATGATGTGACACACAATCATTACAACAGAAACCAATATTTAATAACATGATGAAAATATCAGGCCAACATCAGAATTCCTAAAATTACCTTCTCCGCATCACAGTCGACATGACCGAGCTTCACCTTGCCCTTCAACTTATTTGCAGCCTTCTTCCACTCAGGTGCAAGCTTCTTACAATGTCCACACCTTGAATAAGAGAAGCCAAATAAATAATAGTAATCATTAAATCCATAAGACTAACAAAAGTTGAAGGGCATAAAAAGATTCGAAAATTAAAACATTTATCTATGTATATACTCCAAAAAAAACATATTCACTTGCAAATGTTACCTCATAATCAGTTGAACAACAAAAATGAAATGACACACAACATCGAAGCCTCTTTGCCTTTCTGTTCTTATACAAGGATGGTATCCATTTATTCTAAGAAGTTTTAGTTCCATCACAATCAAAACTGCTTGCTTTTACAAAAGCATGGACTGGAGGGATTCTGAGACCTACTCAGGACTTATCCTACAGTTCTAGGCCTCTCAATGATACAATCCTCATCAGCTTGTATAAAATATTACAGTGTGTCCCATTAACTTTGATAGCAAAGTCTCTTGAGATCCTATGCAAACACGCACCAGCTTGTGCTTAGTACAATTTCTCAATGGCATGCATTACTTGGCAAAGGCAACAACAATATTTTTGTATGCAATCTAAAAATATTCAATTTTTCGATAAGCACTGCAGCAACATAAAGACATTGAAAGATTAATCACACTACTATTGCTAACTTAGAATCATCCAAGAGAACAGGATGAACCATCTAAACCAATATAAGCAAGTAAAACTTACCAAGGAGCAAAGAATTCCACAATCCAAAGATCTTTACTTTTAAGAACCAACTCATCAAAGTTACGTGAATTCAGTTCTACAGATGCACTAGGTTCCAATTTCTCACTTGATCCTCCTGCAGCTTTTCCATTTAATCGTTCCTTTAGAAGTGCCTTAATCTGTATACAGTTTACAAATCTTATTGTTGTTAATTTTTACAAGTGCTCAATAGAAGTAACTAAAAATCCAGAATGGAAAAAGATAAAACCCCTGGTAGTCCAGTAAAGTACTATTTGGAAAGTCAAAGAAACATGTCAGTTTGACAATTTCATGCAACTCAATGAATACTTGTACCTAGCATTATAGTCACACTTGTCTCTAGATTTTGACTTGGTAACTATGCATGCAATTCCATCCCTATGGAAGTCCTCCATGTTTTACCACTAACATTTATGTACAAATAAAATCAAGCATGCACTCATAAAATAAAATAAAAATAAAAAAAAAGAAGAAAATAATATATTCTATGATATTCACATGAATGATGACTTTTTTCGCTCATACTAAACAAGATGATTAAAGAAACAAGCAGAGGTTATAACAGAATTTCCAAGTCTGAATTGATAATGCTGACCTGCTGGAGTGCATATTCTACAATGGGTTTGACATCCCTAGCCCCTTGGTAATCCACAGGAGGTTTCCCAGGTGCAAACACCTTTATAGTTGGAAATCCTTGAATCCCATATTCCTACAGAAAACAAAAGGCAGGGTATTACAATAGAATAACTTGGAAATCCATAAATGTATTCCCCAAAACTTGTTTTGATTAATAATAGTACTAGGAAAAAAATGGAAGCTTCAAATCAAGTGAAATACCATCTAGAAACAGCAAATAATTATTTTTAATTGAAATGATATGTAATGATATCTCAGGAATAGATCCTCAATAACCATGAAGAGAACCTTGTTGATCTTACCCAGCCTTTGCATCCTATGTGATAAGCTTGTCCAATTAGAAACAACTACAATCTCTTCTAAACTATATACCATATAATGACACCACCAATCTATTCATTTTTAGCTGAAGTTTCATCTACTCATGTTTGAACAACATAGTGTGGGCAGGTAAATATAAGGTTAAAAAAGGTAAAAACATGGAAAAGTGATTCACATATGTTGCATGCCAGTACACATATAAATCCACCAATGAGCAGTAGCAAACAGAAATAATGGCATGATTAACACTAACAGCAAGCAGAAAGATGGTACTGCGATATGCAGGTTCAAATATCACATCTAATATTTATGAGGTAACCAATAATCAACCAAATTCACTAAAAGGAAGAGTCGAAAGACTGTCTGTTACTCTGCCCAATTTTTTTTTTTTTGGTTAAAGGAGCTTACTAATTAAAAGTTAAAAGACCACTTTTTTTATATAAAAAAAAAATACTATCTCCTTTTCTACATTTTAGTCACCTTAAAAGACTGTACCTAGAGTTTTCTTTTCATTTTTTTTTTTGGAAGGATATTTTCTATTTAAATTCTAGAGTTTTTCATAATTTTGGGTGCATAAAAGATTTTATGATTGGATATATTTGTATCTTTTAATTTTTTTTGAATATCAAGACTAAATGTAAAAATATTTCCAGTCTGCGCTCATGTATTTCATTTGAATATGTTTAACGTGTCAGATGATTTATTTTAGACATATGACGCATGAGTATTGATGTTTGCATTTCTCTAGAATTTCTTCGGCCTTCCATCTACCCTTTTGTGTGTATCCGCCAATACCATGCCACAACGTCTATTAGCATTTAGCATGTTCTGATACCTTTGCCTTGAACAATAAAAAAAGTTCGAAAGATCAACCAGTTATCAGTTCAGATAAAAAAGGGAAGAGAAGTGCATTGTTTTCTTCGCACAAAACCACGTTACCACCTCCTCCACATAAGATGGAACCACTTTGTGACGAGCAGATTTTGAGTTTAGCTACTATTGTTTTAAAGTACTAACGGTAATTAATCTTGACACCCAATTGCATGGACCTACACTACCTGCATTTATAGATGCTATTAAATTCTTAACAAATTACCATCATTTTTTGGTAGACTCTGCCCAAAAAGTGCTCTACTGATGTCTACCTTGTTCTGGAGATTATTTGCTTGCAGTTGATCATCTTTTCAATTACACATATTGAACTTCTTAATAACAACGAAAGCAGATTATGTAAAAATATACATCACACAAAAAGAAGGAAAACATCAGCTATAGAAAACCTGGGCAAGGGACTGGTGAGCATCAGCATCAAGAGCTGCTACAGTTGCAACACCCTTTAAGACAGTAGCAGCCTTCTCCCATGTAGGTGTCAGAGCTTGACAATGACCGCACCAAGGTGCAAAGAACTCAACTAAAACTACACCATTTGAATTCAGAACCTGCCACCATTTGAAATATGTCAATTACTCAGCAAAACAGCGTCATTTTTCTTCCAAAGCATTGATGTAGTAACAAAATGCTAATACAAGGAAACAAACTATAGCCAAGATGCATAAAATCTTATTGATTTTCCTTTGTATGACGTTGCCACAAACTCTGAATTGAAGATTGAGATTTTTATAGGGGAAAAAAGCAGCCTGAAAAGGAAAAGAGAAAAAAAACTAAGGACTTCGGGGTTATACATTAGACCCTCACTCTAGGTCTTCAAGATTGTTTCTTTTCTTTTATTTTTTTTTCTTGATTAAAAACAAATAAAATTAGGTTGGAAATTAATAATGTTAATTGTAACTAATTCAGAGGAGACCTAATGCATTGGCAATAGCCACAATACATTAGGTCCTCAAACTAAGTGCCCAAATCAGGTCCTAATAGCATTGCCCATTGGAAATTTGAACACCAAACGTATAGAGGTGTTCGAGGAAGTAAATAATTACTTCTTCCATTACTATAACTCCGAATTATGCACCCATTACTATAAGATCCTGGACATGAATTAAACGTCCATTACTATAACTTCGAATAAATTAGAAGTTCATTACTTAAAAATCACTTCAAATAACGTAAAATTTCATTTAGCCAGCAAAAACATCATATATAAATGCTAGAGCCAATATCCAGCTATTTATAAATTACACCTGCTCAAATTTCAAATGCTGAAATCAGTGATTGTTAAAGAGCATGAAAGCACGCAATACCAAAAGCCTATCGCTTACACATGACTCAAACAAACAAAAAGTTGAACTTATATATGTTTAATTCACAGTAAAAGAACTTAAATAATCAAGTATATGAAACCACCCCTTAGTAGAACTACAACAGTCAACGATCAAATATCGGGTATATGAACAAAACCACAAAGTACTCATTTAGCGAAACTCTGAATATAATTTGATATTCTAACTCAATTTTGCGCTGAAAAATTCTGAATAATTGAAATTTAGAGATTGAATCAGAGCGTCTCTATACCTTGGACTTGAAATTGGAAGGATTGAGCTGAATCACTGGTGATGATGGTCCATACAATGCATTGACGTTTTTACTGAGCTCCAATACTAACAAGAAAAACCAGAGCAGTGATGATCGGTGCATTCTCTCTCTCTCTCTCCCTCCCTCCCTCTAGATTTGTACTGTATTTTTTCTTCGCGGGGAAGTGAAATGCGAAGACAAACTTCCGGCGAATCGCACTTTCCACTCAGAAAATTTTCAAATTTTTTTATTTTGTAATCTTAAAAATTAAATTATTTATTTTATATTTTAATTTTTTTTTAGTTAATTTTTTAATGAAAAAATAACGAAAAGTCATATTATAATATTTTTTAAACATATTAAAAGTATAAATTAAGGATTTTAGAAACTTTCGGGGTCTAAAATATATATAAGTTAGATTTTATACAATTGAATATAATTTAATTATATGCACATTTCTATAACAAATACAAACATGGAGACCCTGTGGCACAAAAAAAAACCCACTTCTTTATGCAATATGATTATTTTTTTACACGAACATTATAGTTATTAAATTAAATGAGTTAACTTGCTTACATGTTAATTTATTATTAATTAATGACATCACGTGACAATGAGAACCCACGATAATCCTGCACCTAGCGTCGCACCTTATTACTCGTACATTCACCTCTCCCTTAGGATTTTTGGGGTTGGAAATTACGTTCACAATGACTCGAACCAACTGAAAAGTTAGTCGCAATACAATTCTATCCTATCCTATCCTATTCTACTGTGCATTCATAGAGAAACAGTTAGTAATTATCTTTTTCATTTTTACTGAAAATAATTTAAGATGAAGAAGGGGGGACACCAAGGCCGTGACTTAGGCAGTTAGGCTTCCAGGACCACCTGGTAGATGTTCAAATTCCACGTATTGGATGTGTGTTCTGTAGGTGAAAGGTGATGTTCATGTTTTTGTGTGTTGAAATCAAACATATAATGGTGATGTTCATGGGACAGGTGTGCACATTTTTTGGAAAAAGAAAATTCAAATGAAATTCGTGTGTCTTATAAATCGAAAAAATCAAAGTAACACGAGTTTATTAGAATGCTCCATACCTTCAAAGTTAAGTCCTTTAGTGTTACAATACAACATAGATCGAGGTTCTTTTTTATAGGAAATGTGTGAAAGTAAGTTAAGAGTGGGTTTAGGACTTATAATAAAATGTGTGTATTAAATGGGTTTTTGAAATCAAGCATTCTTTTGATTTAATATTATAACGCAAAACATATCATTCATGTTCTTCTTTTTTCTTTTTTCTTTTTTTTTTTATTTAACAATAGAAATAGTCGGACTAACTTACACGCACCTTAACTAATTTCTTCTTCAATTTGGTTAAAGATATATTATCTGCGTTAAAATTAAGGTATTTATAAAAAAAAAAAATCTATCGTTACCTCTTTAAGGGGACATCATACATGTTCACACTAATAGAATATCTCCACACCTTTACTCGAGATGTAACGGCCGGGTTACGTATGGAACATGGAGTTATTCTAAGCTTGCAACTTTCAGTTTCTTCTTTTTGGTGATAATGTTTTGTTGTATATACAAACAAAACTCTCTCTCTCTCTCTCCTTCTTCCTTCTCTCTAAACAAGGAATGACAAGGCCAACGAGACCACTCATTCATTTAGAACCCTCTAACCATCTCTCACCCATCATTACAAACTCACACTTAGCAACCAAGATTCCTTAAATAAGCCACAAAGCTTCCACATCAATCTTTCTCATGTGATGTCTTTCCTGACTCCCAGCAAATCTGCATATTTTGCTGCAAGTGGAGAAGAGATAGAGAAGCCTATAAGAATGAAGAAGCTTAGAAAATGTTGCAGAAAGTTGAAGAAGATGTTTACAATATCCCATGGAGGTAGCTCTGACCAAATGACTTCAGTCTCACCTCCTTATACCGTTCACTGTGATGAGCTCTTCCTGCCATTGTCAAAGAAAACAGGTCACCGCGCCAATAATTTTCGTATTGATCCCTTCATAGCCCGCCACATTGCTGCCCAAAATTACTTCACCATGAGGCCTAACATCCATATTTGAGGGAGAAGGTAGGCCTATGTTGTTGTACCTGTCTTCTTTTAGGGATTTCCAGCCGTTTTTACTTGTTTATCTGCATCATGGTTAGAGCGGTTTTTACTTATTCGAATCATAAAAACAATTTCTCTTATTGCAGGATAAGGTTGTATATATCTAACCCTTCACAGAATTGACGCGAGTCTCATACACTAGGTATGCTTTTATCTGTGTCATGCTTAGAGATCTCCACTCAATTATCCTCTCTCTTGTGATTTTTCATGTATGTAATATCAAAGCTAGTAAGTTCTTGCTTTTGGTTTTCACTGTAAAATTTGTCAAAGTGAAAACCATTTACTTCAATCACTAGTTTAGTTTCTTTTAATCTATCCCATAGATTGTTCCTTCCCTGAAATGTCCAGTACACATCCAATGTTGATACTCGATGTGGTGTTAGGCTCTATCACTGGATGATATAAATTCATAGGTAGAGCTCATAAACCGACTCACAAAGAAACTCATATATACACAACTAAGCTTGGATATGAGACATTTAGAATCATAACATTCTACAAAGAAACCAGAGCTAATTTGAACCTTTCCAAGCTCTCCGGCTTGTATTGTGATATTAACTAAACCACAAATTTGATAGTGTAATTTGTTGGTGCAGAATCTATGATGAAAGATGAGTTAGAAGGCTGTTAAATGTTTTAACGCGCGGTACGAAGTCGTTTTCCTTAAGACACTATTTGTCCCTTCCAATTCTTAATTTAATTTAATTTTCAAATTTTGATATTGGGAGACTTATTTTAAAATTTTAAATTTAATGGTCTATAAATATAATTTTTTTTCAAATGAAGTGTGGGCGGGTGGATTCTTAGGTCGGGTTTTAATGGATTTTTTTGGATGGACTATTGGGCCGGGTTTCGGGGCAAATAATGGATTTGGGGCAAACACAAGCCCTCTTTTTAAGGATATTTGGCTCGAACTTGGGCGGGCCAACTATCTGGCCTATAAGGTTTTAGACCTATTTTTTTCGACCTAGATAACAGGATCTGTGGATAACCCAGCCCATAGATACCCTTAGATTCAGGTACGGACAATTTTTAGTATATATATATATATATATATATATATATATATTCATCCAAATTCACAAAGTATTCTGCAAACTAGGGGATAAAATTATAACATATCTTTTTAAACAATTTTATGAAGTTATGATTAAAATGCTATCAAAGAAGAGACCCCAAAAAAAAAATGTATGAGCATATCTTTGGATTAATATCTATAGGGAAAAAAAGACTATAATACATTAATAACAAGTAAATTGGATTCACTTATATGCATACACAAAGTAGTTAGCTTTGAACCAAATAAATTTTAAATTTTTGTAACATATACAAATACAATGTATGAAAACTCTTGGATATTAAGGTTAGACCTCTAATATTTTTTGTAGACTGGTGTGCGCATTGGGAAAAATAAAATCTAAAGGAAATTAGCGTATCTTATAAATCGGAAAAACTAAAGTAACACAAACTTTATAAAATGCTCCATATCTCTAAAAGTTAAGTCATTTAGTGTTACAATACATGCCATCGAGGTTCTTTTTGATAAGAAATGTATGTTTCGTGACAACAACAACAACAAAAAGGGGCGAAAAGTATGTTAAGAGTGAGTTTGGACTTGTGATTAAATGTGCCTATATTAAATAGACCAAAAAACCTTCATTATAAGTCCCACCAAAGCAAGTATTTTTTTTTTAAAAAAATATATGAAGTGGATTTGTCTGAAATCGCGCATTCTTTTGATTAATATTAGCAAATGCACGTGAACATATTAAACTAATAATTTTTTTTGTAAGAAATTTAAATTATATATGTAATTAAATTAACTAGTAAATTGTGTGTCGAATAATTGATTATTATTAAACTTAATTATTAATATATTTTACCCCTTTTTAAATATGTAATCTGTCGTTTACGTATCTCTCCGACTCAATAGATATTTTCTCTTTTGTTTATAATAAAGTTTCATTGTAATAATGTCATTATTGAGTATTTGCATATTCTAGATTGATTAGATTGTAATGCTATTATTTGTATTCTAATAATAAGATATTGTTGCATACAAAAAAATTAAATATGATATATAAATTGGACTTTATTAGTGTACTATTAATAAATGAATCCAAAAGAATTTAGAAATCAAATACTATTAATAAAAGAGTTCAAAAGAATTTAGAAGTCAAATAGGTATAGAAAATAAAAGTTTTCTTATTGTTCCAGCCGAGATTTATGTTTTGCTGGGAAGTGGGTTTGTCTTCTCCTTCTTCACATGACAAACTAAATTTTGAGGACAAAGTTTTAAAGGGGGAATGGAATATTATGTATTTGAAGTTTGGGGGTGGGTCATGTAATTAAAGTGCTGAGAAAGTGCAACACTAGTTGAATCCTAATAGAAAGTTAGTTGGTTTATTGTGCTGCAATTCTTTAGAGCGGTTGCTATTTTGTAAGAAGTAGTGAAATTGTGTATCCTTGTTTTTAGCTATTTTCTTGAAAGGGCCTTTGTATAAATTTAGGATTGAGTCATGAATTTTCTTCTCCAATAAAAATTCATGAAAATAAAACAAAATAAAAAATAGAATTGGAGAACAAAATTCATGACTCAATCCTAAATTTATACAAAGACCCTTTCAAGAAAAATAGCTAAAAACAAGGACACACAATCTCACTACTTCCTACAAAATAGCAATCGTCCCAAAGAATTGTAGCACAATAAACCAACGAACTTTCTAGTAGGACTCAACTAGTGTTGCACTGTAATAACATGACCCATCCCCAAAGTTCGGATACATAATATTTCATTCTCTTTTTAAAGGAAAATGCTACATAACCATGTCCTCAAAGAACGGTAAAATATATCAATAATTAAGTTTAATAATAATTAATTATTCAACACCCAATTTATTAGTCAATTTAATTACATATATAATTTAAATTTCTTCTGAAAAAAATTATTAGTTTAATATGTTCACTTGTATTGCTAGTATTAATCAAAAGAATGTGTGATTTCAGACAAATCCATTTCATTTTTTTGTTATTAAAAAAAATACTTGCTTTAGTGGCACTTATAATGAAGGTTTTTTGGTAGGACATTAGTGATAAGTCCATTTAATACAGACACATTTTATCACAAGTCCAAACCCACTTTTAACATAATTTTCACCTTTTTTTTTTTTTTTGTTCTCACAAAACATACATTCCTTATCAAAAAGAACCTCGATGGCATATTGTAATACTAAAGGACCTAATTTTTGGAGATTTGGAGCATTCTAATAAGCTTGTGTTACTTTAGTTTTTCCGATTTATAAGATACACAAATTTCATTTAGATTTTATTTTTCCCAATGTGCACACTTGTCTACATAAATCATTAGAAGTTCAACCTTAATATCCAAGAGTTTTCATCAAATGTATTTGTATGTGCTACAAAAATAAAAAATTTATTCGGTTCAAAGCTAACTACTTTGTGTATGCATATATGTACATCCATTTCCTTGTTATTAATGTATTATAGTCTATAGGTAAACTCCATGATTTAGTTATTGAATCTTGAAGTTAATATCATTAACTAAGTACAGTCACTCATCTCGTAGAAGTCAAATAACATGAAAAATCAATATATTGTGCTTCTTAGTTAGTGCTCGTGCCTAAAGGCACTTTATAATACAAAAAATCGTCAATTAAAATCCACTAAACAAAGTTGAAACTCGAGTAAAAGTTGATTTTCAACCGAGTTGAAAGTAATTGATTTAATGTTTGACTGCGTTATGTATAAACGAAATCAAACCAGAAACCTTCGGATTGTCCTAGTAAGCCAAGATAATCGAAAATCTATTTTTGAAGACAAACAAATTACACTAAAAAAAATTGAGAATAAAAATAAAAAGTGTTTTAAGCCTTTCGAAATAGAGATTGCAATGATTGAAGTAGATTAGAATATCAAATTTCTAGTCTATTTGTAGGCACAATCAGTGATGTGAAAAGTGAGTCTAGGAGAGAAGCGAGCCTTGGTTGCCTTGAATAGCCAAGGTGAAGCGAGGTTAAGTAAAGTAAGCAAAGCGAGAAAAGTGAAAGCCAAGCAGCAATTTTTTTTATTTTCTCCCCCTCCCCCTCCCCCTCCTCATTTTTCTTCTTATTTTTCTTTAATATCAACTAAACCTTAGTAGAGATAATGTTATATATGTATACTAGTTATTGTTCATGCTTGAAAGCACAAAATAATTAAAAAAAAAGTTCAACAATAAATATATATGTATTCACACCCAAAATCAAATCTCAAAGATAGAGGAGAGAGAAAGAAATTTAAAGTACCCGCTATAGTGGTGGTGAATGATGGGCAGCAATGGTGATGGTGGAGAGACAGTGATAGTTGTGGTGGGTGGTGACCACTGTGGCGGTGGTGACCACTGTGGCGGTGGTGGAAGTCGTGGATGGCAACGGTGATGGCGGTAATGAATTTTGAGTGACGATGTTGGTAGTGACAGCTGTGGGTGACGGCGGTGGTGGTGATAGGTATGGGTGGTTATAGGCAATTACGATAAGGGTGGTGAGCGACAACGAGTGCTTCTGAGTGACAGTGTGATGGGTGGTGGCGAACGATGGTGGTAGATGTGATGGGGGTGGTGACAGGAGTGGTGAATGATGATGGGTGATGGTAGGTGTGGTGACAATGGCTAGCGGCGATGGTGGGCAACGAGGGGTGGTGGTGAGTTGTGGCAATGGATGGTGGTGGCAGTGACGATAACGGTGGTGAAAGTTAGGATGGTGGGGGTGGCAGTAATGATGATGGTAGTGGGGCGATGATGGTTGTTGTAGTAGAGGAGACGGTGGTGGTGATTATTATTGTGGTAGAGGTGGTAATAGGGTGCCAGTGGTGATGGTGGATTAGAACCCCTTCTATGTATCCCTCTCTTTCCTATAGGGCACTAGGGGTGATGGGGGAGGGTAGTTGTGGTGGTGGGGGTAGTAGTGGTGGTGGTGATGGGGCAGCGGGGTGGGTGGCGGTGGTAATGGGGTGATTCCAAACACTACTATTTTTTAAAAGTACTTATGAGAAGTTACAAGTTACAAAAGCATTTTTAAAAAGTCAGCTCAAATACACTTTTAGGTGCCTATTTTTTCTATTAAATTTGGGGTGTTAATATTAGTCATCGAATTAATTTTAAAGTAAAATTTAAAAAGATTTCAACCGTAAAAAATAAAAGTCATTTTATTTATTTTTTGAGATTTGAAATGTCTTGTACTTTATTATATAAATGTATAAAATAAATTGATTAACTCATCTGACTCTATCATATAATAATCTGTCTTATTATGATTAGATGATATTGAATGTTCTGTTTTGTAGTAAATGCACTTGTTAATCAATTTGCTTGGTAAATCAAATTGATGGATTATATGTTCTATTTGATTAATCAATTTGTGAATGCTCTGTTTAGTGGTGATATTAATCAATTACAGTAGAAGTCAAACCAACATTTGTTAGCTTTCCATTTAGATGACGTGATTATATCAATTAATTATTTTTAGCATATAATAATATTCAATATTTGATATCTTGTCTATTTAAAATATGTAGATGTTTATTATTTTAGTTGCATTTAAATATTTTGTATTTGTGAAGTTAAAACTTGAATATTTAGGAATAATCAAAGTATTAAACAAAAATGTGTTTTATTTTTTATATTGTTCGCTTTATTTCAATAAAGCGTTCGCTTCTCTTCTCACTTCTCGCCTAGGCCTTCAAGAGACCAGCTCACTTCAGTTCGCTTTACGTTGAATAACACCTGACACAATAGTATCCTTTCAAGTGGCTATCTGAAGACTTTAGGTGACTAATCAAAACAAGCACCATCAACTTTCATTCATCTGTTCAAATAACAAACATTTGAATATTCAAAAATAACTATCACTAATAGAAATAGAGCTTTTTTGACAATAAACAAAGACACTTGGGTCAGAACACAAATGAACAGATACTACTTGGAAAAAAAAACAGTAGTTCACACTCAATTTCTTCTTTTTTCTTTCAGTCAAGTTTTCATTGAAGCTTAAAGAAAGCCATGAGAGGATCATACACAGCTTGCCTAGCATTCACACCCATAACATAATCTGCATGAGCGTAATTCTCTATGTACTGAACAACAAGCTTATCTCCATCATGATCCTTGAGGTTGTCCAGCAAGAGCTGAACGTCGTTCACATCAGAAAGTGCATCTGCACCTCCATAGCTGAGGAAGAGAGAAAGGTCATTTGGTATGCTTTTCATGTTGTAAGCTGGAGGAGTCGGTTGTCCATAATGTTTCCTGTTCTCATCCTCATCTTTATAGTCATACATTCTGATGGTTCCTTCTCTTATCACTGTCCAAATAGCTCTACTATCAGATTTATGCAATAATCTTTAAGAGGACGGTGGTGTTGCTATATCTGAAATGGTATAGACTATAGATGAATAACACCTCTTAACAAATCAAGTTATCTTTTCTATTTACAAGTGCAAAAAACTTACTGTGGTTTCATTTTCACAAACAGATTTAGTATAATTCCTTGTTCTCAAGGCTACTGCATGCAATACCATACCTCTGTTTAATAAGAAGAAGTCTTATCTTTACTCGCACTAGCTGATTCGGTGGTTGAATGAAAGGCGAGACATATAAATTTGCATGTCCTATTTTTATGCCTTGCCCCCTGTTTAACTGACACGGATGATTGGAAGCGTCCAGGGTTTGCATTGCAGTGATGAGTTCAGAGGTAACGTGATTGGGATGAGTATTATCCTTTTTCACAGCCTCAACCCTTAGTAGTAACATGTGAAGCAGAATGTAGAAATACTTACTCTGAGAGATATGGATCATGTTCTTGGTTGAGGTTGACTGAGGCTCATGTTCTAGGAAAACAGTTACTATGGTAGAGTTCAGGCAGCAGTTCTGACCTATAGTCATAACACATGCTAAGTCAGTAATGAGAGCTAAGCTTTTCTAGTGAAGAAGCTTTTCTACCTGGAAAATATACCCTACCTGTGAAAGACGTTAACATGTTAGTGCAATCAACACCTGCCTTCTGGCAAATATGCTTAAGAAGTTCAATTACTGCCTTCCTGCTCAATTAAACAAAACAATCCATCGTTAAGTACTAAAGTTTTCAAAATTTCAGTAAAATTTCTTACTAACGTAAGGGAAACTTGCATAATGCAGGCCTAAATACTGTGTTAAAGCTGAAACATTATTGGTTCTCCTTCTCCAGAAATAGTCTACGATTCAAAGAAAGTACGTGGCAATAGAGATAAGAATGTTATGCCCAGCACCAGAATGACAAGAACAAAGAATGGAACTCACCCTCTTGGATTGAATTCATTGATACCAAGCCAATATAACGCCTGTTTGAACCCGAAAACAGACAGATTATTAGTGTTCTTTACTAATAAATATGAACTTGAATGATTAAGTCGACCTTACTTCTGCAAGAAGACTATCTGCAGCATTTCTTGCTAATGGGGAGGTCACTTGACCTACATAAGCAATTGGACTAAGCAAGGCAGCCGATCTTAGCATATCCACCAGCTGCCCTTTTGAAAAAGAAGCCAGAGCAATCAAAGTTCCCTAAAAAAATGATACAAAATGTTAATATTCCATCATTTATTAAGTGATCCCAGGAGTAGTGAAAGAAAAAAGTAGGCATATTCACCAGGGAATGCCCAACATAGTGCAGTTTCTGCCCTGTTTGATCATGAACATACTGAAATATAGCAGGAAGATCATAATCTACCAATTCATCCCATGTCCAATCCCAATAAGCCTACAAAAAAGCATGAAAATTAATTAACGAGAAAGAAAATGGGCAACATGAAGGGGAATGAGATGTTGGAAGAAAGGTAACTGCATCATCAGGACTAAGAGATGTATGGCCAAGGCTATATTTTGTTCCGCGGGTGCTGGCTAGCCATACATCAAACCCATTATCTGCTAAGAGCAATGCTAAAGACTGATCTGGAGGACTGAGCAGCCATGTTATCCCATCCTGCCACCAGAATATTCCTATGTTAATTAAAAATGTTCTTTAATGAAATTACATTGCAAGAAAATTAACTGCCATGGCCGAATACTAACCATCAGGAGCCCGTGCTGCAGCAAGACTGGTGCCCTCTTCCCCGATGTCTTTCCTGACTGTCCTACTGGAATTCTCTGTATGCTGAGAATATAACCATCTCGAGTTGTCACCTGAAACCAATCGATTTCCCATCACATTAAATATCTCAGTTCATGTCATAATCTCGTATGTAACTAATAAGATTATGATCTTCTGGTAGAAAAGATGATCAACTTCTTGATTATTCAGAACTCAATTGAATCATTTGTCCTGGTCATTGTGTACTGGGACATTATATTGTACAGGCATATTACCATGTGTTCCTCGCAAAAATAGCCTTGTGTCTCGACCATCGACTTGCAAATGCCATCATCAGCCACTGCAGACACAGCATCCTGAGCTTCTGTCAAGAACAATGTTGTTCTGGTTCCAGCAGCTAACCCACAAAACACAACCACAAGAATTATGGAGACCAAACTGTTGGTCATTTTGGTGATTTTGTTCCCTTTCGTACTATGTCAACCTTCAACTATCCTGCATTCTTTATACTAAAGATATAATGCATGAAAAGACAGAGCAGAGTATATAAACACAAGTCACTTATGCTTTAAACATGGCATCTGACAGGCCTATTCGCTTCCACTGATGATAAACACATATTTAACACGCGTTTTTAGATTTCATCACTACCAAGATTCTGTATTTTAACAAGAAATTCTTAGTTTACTCCGATCATCGAGAGCGATCTGGCCAATATAGCAAACAAGTATGCCAAAATCATGTGCATTAAAGAAAAAAATATTGTGTGGCAGTTGCTTTTCCTTAGTACAACCTGAAGATGAAGCTACAAAACAAGCGTAGATATCAAAGACCCATCACCATTGATTTTTTTTACAGGAAAAGAAGACTACTCAAATGCCTTATTTCACTACTTTTACTCCAGAACAAACTTATTGCATTCATTATACAGGGAGGATGTTGCTTCTTTCTCAAATCCAGCTCAGAGATTAACAAAGCAATCATACTAAACTGACAGTCATAAGGTAAATTCATCTCAAATGTTTAATCCCCACATATTACACTCGAAAATTGGAGAGGAGAGAAAACTCGTATAAGTCGATTATGTTTCCACCCTTTCAATTGATCAAAAAGGAACTTTTTCACAAGTTACATTGGGAGGAAATCCATTTGGAGGATGGGAAAAAAAATGTTAACAAGAACATATTTACCCAAAAAAAAAAAAAAAAAGGAAAGAAACCAATAAACTGTATTCATAAAGTAAACTACAAATATAGTGTTTTCCTCTGATGTCTTTCGGTAGACAAAATGCAGCATCTGCAGTCGAGTCTCATCTCTGTTAACAAGCAGGTTGGGTTTCTCCAGAGTTGAGCGCAACAGGAACATCCTTTTGCAATTCTTTTGATGTTCTAACAGCATTTTCAGGCAATTTGCGCCTTAGAAGTGCTGGCAATCTGGGTCTTATGAATGGTCTTCCAAGGAACTTGAGTTGCCACTTTTTTGGTTTTAGCTGTCCTAATAATTTCATCTGCTCCTTTCTGAACTTCCTATTTGCATGCCATTTTCCACCTCGCCAACCCAATCCATACCTGCAATTAAGAAAGAGAAAAGAGGTCAAACAAAAGAGGAACCCAAATGTCAAGAATTAAGTTTTGCAAGTGCAAAATTGATCGCCTGGGCTACAACCACCAACATTTATTAAAACAAGAGACCATCCATGGGGAATGAAGTTATGTAATAAGAACTTAAGAATGGCAAGAAGTCTTTTGAGCTTTTCCAAATATCATATCCCAATTGGTAAATTCATATGTCGGACCCATCTCTAGCGATTAATCAACAATTCGAAGTTCTTTGCTAACGAATACAGTAATGGAAGGAAACATTATGATACAAATATTGCTTGGTGTGAAAATGGGCAACCAACACTAGTGTGTTTCGAAACTTTTCCCATGTCTTTTTCCTTTCTGATAAGCCAACATCACATGAAACTACACCACGAACCCTTTTTCTAAATTACTCAACCAAAAATTACCAGAAAGCATCCAAGGGAATTATTTTAGAAATGTCTGCCAATAGATGTATTCTGTTTTTGAAGTCAAAGTTGTGCATTGATTACTAAGGTATTAGATTTTAGGAAGACCCAAAAATTTAGCGATTCAACAAAGAAAATTTCTTCTGATTCCTATCTTAATAACAAGCAGCATTGAAAATGGTTAACATATATCTAAGAGAACAAACCTTTTACGGTGGACAGTGGAGAAAGGACTTATTTTTCAAAATAATTTTGACATAAGAAATATGCAGAATTAGATTAGGGATCTTGTTGTTTCTGATTACACAACATTCCGTTAGCTATTCAATACTAAACTCAATATATGGCAACCAGGAGGAGGAACCCTCCCATTCTACATTCAACCAAAGATGCATCCAAGGCGAAAGCTTTGCTACATGCATTAGGCTGCAAACAAGTCAGAAACCAATTTCAATATGTGAAATCTGAGAGGAACCATTCCATTGAACATTCAACCAAAGAAGCACCAGAGGAAAAGCTTACCTACTTGGCCACAATTCAATCCAGAAATCAAACAAATAATGATCAAAAAGGGGAGGGGGAGGGGGGAGGAGATACCCCTTGTTACAAAGAAGAGGATTACAGTAGACCCTGATTTTCAATCCAAGAATGTAAACAAATAAATCCTTGTAGTTTGTCATAATTAGAGAACCATTGCTTGGTCAACAATGATAAAAGATCAGACAGCCAACAATGGAACCTGGGTGAAGAACAAAAGGCAGACACTTCAGCAATTACCACACAGGGCAATTATAGATTCTGAGAGCCAATTGTAATTGGTCAATAAAAATAAATTTCAACGCTCCTTTTTTAACTTTTGTTTGTTCTTAGTTTAGCCAATTTATCATGAGTTAAAAAAGGGTAAAGGAATCCTGCGTTGATTGTCCTCTAAATGTAAGTTTTCTTCTTCCATATGTAAAAAGGGTATAAATAAATTCCGGGAGGCTTCAGAGTTCAGACAAGCCCTACGGGGGTCCTTCACTTGTGTGAGCTTCCCACCCACCCTTACCAACCACAAGACACCCCTCCAGGTACACGCATTAAAAAGAACAACACTGAGTGTTGGCCAAAAATTTATTTCAACTTAAGGTTGCAACTATAAACATATCAATCCAAGAGAGAAGGTACTAAGCAGTTCATTAGCTTCCACTTGCAGTAGACTCAAATTCCATGATCCGCACTTACCATTTTTGGGGTTCTATATCACTTCATACACATATAATTCTCTCTTTTGATTAACAGAAACTATTGCTACATTGAAAAACATTAGTAAACAAAATTAAAGAGCAAACGAAAAGAAATAAAACTTCACAAGGAGGCAAAAGATTTACGAACCCCATAATTAAAGTGGTTCCAGCAGCGGCAACACAAGCAGGAATACTGATACTGCCTGAACCAACAAGCTTTTGCAAATCAGTATCTTCCAATTGATGATTGGTTTTCATCTGCCAGATAACAAGAAATGATATGTCTCAAATCTAACCATTGATCTCAGAGAGAAAGAGGAAATAGGAGGTGCACCAGCAATTTAAGTAGATAACGATTCACAGAATGAGTTCACTACTCAGAAAATAAGGTTTGGGGGGGTGGGGGACATTATACAGAAAATGTAAAAATGGANATTACAGTAGACCCTGATTTTCAATCCAAGAATGTAAACAAATAAATCCTTGTAGTTTGTCATAATTAGAGAACCATTGCTTGGTCAACAATGATAAAAGATCAGACAGCCAACAATGGAACCTGGGTGAAGAACAAAAGGCAGACACTTCAGCAATTACCACACAGGGCAATTATAGATTCTGAGAGCCAATTGTAATTGGTCAATAAAAATAAATTTCAACGCTCCTTTTTTAACTTTTGTTTGTTCTTAGTTTAGCCAATTTATCATGAGTTAAAAAAGGGTAAAGGAATCCTGCGTTGATTGTCCTCTAAATGTAAGTTTTCTTCTTCCATATGTAAAAAGGGTATAAATAAATTCCGGGAGGCTTCAGAGTTCAGACAAGCCCTACGGGGGTCCTTCACTTGTGTGAGCTTCCCACCCACCCTTACCAACCACAAGACACCCCTCCAGGTACACGCATTAAAAAGAACAACACTGAGTGTTGGCCAAAAATTTATTTCAACTTAAGGTTGCAACTATAAACATATCAATCCAAGAGAGAAGGTACTAAGCAGTTCATTAGCTTCCACTTGCAGTAGACTCAAATTCCATGATCCGCACTTACCATTTTTGGGGTTCTATATCACTTCATACACATATAATTCTCTCTTTTGATTAACAGAAACTATTGCTACATTGAAAAACATTAGTAAACAAAATTAAAGAGCAAACGAAAAGAAATAAAACTTCACAAGGAGGCAAAAGATTTACGAACCCCATAATTAAAGTGGTTCCAGCAGCGGCAACACAAGCAGGAATACTGATACTGCCTGAACCAACAAGCTTTTGCAAATCAGTATCTTCCAATTGATGATTGGTTTTCATCTGCCAGATAACAAGAAATGATATGTCTCAAATCTAACCATTGATCTCAGAGAGAAAGAGGAAATAGGAGGTGCACCAGCAATTTAAGTAGATAACGATTCACAGAATGAGTTCACTACTCAGAAAATAAGGTTTGGGGGGGTGGGGGACATTATACAGAAAATGTAAAAATGGATGAAGCAATCAACAGACCCACAAAAGACTGTTTGCAAGCTGGTGAGCCTACATGATTGAAATTATACCCTGCCAAAACACAAAGCAAGGAAACACAAGAACACAAAAATGATTGGTACTTAAGGGCAATTGGGTTTGCATCATCATAGATGAAATCAGGAGTCTCAGTACACCTATATACCCAAAAGAAATAATGGTTCAGGAAACAACCTAGATAAAACATAATGTTGCGGGCTAGGGGGGAAGCTGCACTACAAAGCCGAAGGGTGTTCCTCATGGTTATCAAAAGATCTGGTACAAGCAAATCGATTCGAGTCACTTGTAGAAACCCAAATTCATATATGATCTTAGTGGATCATGATCCGAATCTTATAGGATCGTCAGATCCCAATCCAAACTGAGATTTTACTCTTGTTGGATTTGTTTGTGAGGCACATTTGGCTGATGAGAAAAAACTGCAAAAAATTCATTTTATTTAAAAAAAGGTCGTTTTATATTATTCTGATTTTTCCATTTGGATGTCGGATAGTCAAAGTAGTTATTCAACTGGCTTTCAACTTTCCAGTCCCTCCTATAAATCTGTCTTTCTCCAAAAGTTAATATTAAAATACTTCAAATATCCTATTTTTCTTTGCAAAATCCGACAAGATTAACAGTCCACCTTTAATTTTCAACCCTTTTCAATGCTCAAAGTGTAGTTTATCAAATTTCAAGCATATCTCTAAGTTCTACGGTTGTCAGAACATTTCTATTTGCATTTATAATAGGACTGTTTAGTTTTTATTTTTAAGAACTCTGAATTGTTACATATGTTTTTTGTCTCATTTTTTGTTAGTAGGATCTTACGATTTTCGATTCGATCCTACGATCCCTTTCCTTTAATCTCCCCCATTAATCCAAGATATGGATCTCGATTTTGAAAACTTGGTGTTCCTATGGAGGAAAGAGAATCAAAAAGGCGATGACAAAGTAGCATGAGGGCGATGGGACCTTTACTTGCTCATCATTTGACAATCTAGCTCTCTCTTTTGCCACACCTTTCACTAGCTTGAGTCAAACTCAACCACTCTGTGTTTAGCGAACCATTCATTCTTCACCCTCTTGGCTATTATTTAGAATCACATACATCTAAGGATGATAAAAATGAAAACTCTGGAAATGGATGGATCCGTCTTTCCAACTCGGCTCTTTGACTTCATATCCTCCATAAGATCTGAAGCACTAACAAATATACCCTGCCCAAGGTGGTCTTAATCTAAACCTATACACATTCCTGAAGAGCTTAAATGGTCCGGTGCCAAAGATAAAATATGAAACAAAAAATGCTTTTATTGGCACACTGCTGCAAGCTTATATTCAATTTCAAGTAGCTATCATATCCTCAGATTTGCTCATATACACACAGATATAGCCTAGCTCAAAATTGTAAATTCCAACTTTGACAACTCATGGGAGATCACAAAATTAGGTAATTGAGAACATATCTTGATTAACTAACAGTATTTCCAAATTGGCACCCATTCTCACCATCATCATAGCCTATAAAGTTCTAAGCCATACAATACGTTTTAAAGTTATACAGATATTATGATTGATGAACGAATATTAAAAGGAAACATAACTGTGAGAGATATTATGCGACATATACTTACAGCTTTCTCAATTGACTGAAGCCTCTGATCAACTCTTGATTGATGAAAGTGGCGTAAAGAATAGCCTGCATGACCATCTCATGTTAACTCCAGTCCTAAGAAAAAATAATTAGCAATGATTTTGCCAAAATATGTAGTTTAGCACCACCCCACCTCCAAGACAAAGGGGGGGAAAAAAAAAGAGGCAAAGAAAAGAAAAATGAAATATACCGGCGGCACACTTACCTACCTAATTTTATGCTGAGATTCTTACACCGTTACAAACTAGAACACCATTTTTTTCACTATTTTTCTTCAAAACAGTTAAAAGTGATCCATTAAAACTTAAAAGAGCCAAAAGGATGCAACCCATGTATAACATATCAGATACAATAAGCAAGGAAAAATGGGAAAACTACTCAACAATTGTGACTTTATCCTATCCGAATTGTCTGCAAAAAAAAGGAGCAGATTAAGGGATTCTGACAACCAAAGAAAAGGGAGCTAAGCATCACATTTTGGCAGTTTCAAACCCAAGGTGTGGGTTTGAGATAGCTAACTGGTGATTCCTCTTGAAGGAAAATAGGATTCCTTGGTAGCCTACTAAAACAATACTAAGGGACCAAAGAATACCCCAAATCTTACTTACCAATTTATCAAGAAATCTCAAAACCCAGGCCAACTCTGAAACTCTGATAAGCATTGATCAATGCCTTACAGTTATTGCAGATGATCACATGGGAGAGACTCATCCCAAAGGTCAGTTATACAGAGACCAAGCATGGACTCTTCTTCCTCCAGTTAACAGGTGGAATGACCCAAATGGACCTTCAACATGCACAAACTTCTTCAACTAGTCTAGCTGCAGACAATACATTGTACTTTTGTGTCCGTGTAAGTATAAATCAACTTCCCTATTTTTTTTTAACTTTGTCCTCATCCCCACTCAGAAGAAAAAGATCCGGGCAAAACAAAGGCTTCTGCTACTAATGATCATTTCACCATCAAGTAACATATCGCGTCGCAATCATGCTTCTTATGTCCACTGTTACTGGGAGCTCCATAGATTTGCAAATTCATAGCATACCTAAGAGACAAAAAACCTCCATAGTTATCCCTTAACCCAACCCAACAACAACTTTTCCCAACTTTTTTGGGGCCATCTACATAAATCCTATTTCAACATTGTGCTCTATTAAGGGTCATACTTTTTGTTAAACCATAAGGTATCATATCTTTTTTGACGATTCATTGGATTTTAATTTTGATCTTCCTCTACCACTTCATTTTTGACATCCTCTATACATATGTCCAAACCACCTAAGTCAATTCTTCTCAACTTATTTCATACATGTACTACCTCTATTTCTTTTATCAATCATCTCATTCCTAATTATATCCTCCTTATTTGTATCATACATCCATCTTAACATTCTTATTTCTGTCACACTCAATTATTCAATGTTATTTTTTAGTTGTCCAACACGGAATACCATAAAGCATAGCATAGTAACTCCTAATATTCTTATTAAATGGGATCCAAAACAGGGTAGATAAATGCAATTGCTAATCGGATGCCTATTGTTTGCATACAGCTATCAGAACAAATTGTCGATCATCTACCACAATTTCAAATTTCCATAAAAATGGACCAAAATATGTAGACGAATGATATCCAATAAAACCCACATCATTTCACAAGAACACTCCACCAAACCAATATAAAACCTTAGAAACATGATACAGGAGGTATTAACCAATTCGGAAATAAACTGAACATACCAAACCATGCAGTAGCGATGGATGCTATAGAAGTGGAGATTGTAAATACCACTTTATGGCTCTCAAAAATATCCTAAAGTGTCAAAATCAAAAATAAATAAATAAATAAGAAACCCAATTGACAAAAGTACACTCATCAATATCAAAATCAATCAAAATCACAAAACCCACAAAACATAACCGACACCCATTAGCTTAAACATACCCAGAACCGAATCAAAGTTAAGAAGAAGTACCTTTGTAGAATAATAGGTGTCCTGAACAGCACACCATGAATTCAAAGTCTTTCTTCTCAACTGAGGCACTGTTAGGTCCCTAATAAACGACGACCCCAAAGCCCTTAGCCGCTGCATAGTGCTATATTCTCCAGACCCTGTTGATTCTGAATTCAAGTTCTCTGATTTCAAGTAGAAGAAACGAGCGAAACCAAACAATAATTTTCGAGGAGGGAAAAGCTGTCAGCGCATTTTCGGGTGTTTTAGTTCAATTGCAAGAAGTTTTCCTCTATTTTTTCTGGCTAAAAAAATTTAATTTGGGGAATGGGCAAAACCTGAACAGTTGATCTCAAGGGCAAAGGGTGGTGCAGAGAAATTGGTTAAAAACTTAGTAACATTTTTCATAAATTAGTTGGTATACACCGTTGTTGCACGTTAATTATTTTAAATTATAATTTTTATTTAATATGATTAATGCTTCTCAGCCGTATCATCAGTACTGAGCCTGAACCTAATTGGTCCTAAATCAGTCCAATTTTGGCTTATTTGTTGGATGATGTGTTTTCAGGTTTGATAAGGAGTATAATATTTGGATGATGTGTTTTTATTTAGGTGATGATATTTTAATCACGAGAGGTTATGGTATGATAATTTGTAAACATGTTTCATATATTTTCTTTGGTTAAATTATTATGTTTTATACATTTTTTGTTTTTTAATTATATGATCGGTCCGACCATTTAATGCACCAATTGAACCGGTTAATCATTGACTTAGTCCTTTTAACGGTTTGATATCTAATCCAGTTCTAATACCTATACTTCGCAATAACCAATAATGAGAAAAGGTTTCCTCAACTAATTTAGGGAGAAACATGTGGGAGAAAAAATAAAAAATTGGATAGTGAATATAGTATTAGAGAGAGTACAAGTTAAAATGTTTAAGAAACTTATGTTAAAATTAGAATCTTATAAATCACAAAAGTCAATAAATTATCCTCTAAATCAACTTCAATACAATTCCACTAATAATATAGTACCAATAAAATTCAAGACAATCGATATATACACCGCTGATAAACTTTTAAAACGGTCTTTAAACAAAATCTTAAATGTAAATTCAACTCATTTGAACACTAACAAACAATCCACGTCCATGTCTATGACATAATCAACATTTATGTAGGTGCAAACAAACACATGCAATGATAAAATTGTTTAGAGCACTAGAGGTTGAAGTTAGAGGTCAAGTAGAAATGATGAACCAAAGCTTAAGAGGGCATCACCACAGTAGAGTGGAAAAGCTATTTGATAACAATGATGACGCCATAGGAAAAAAAAGATAAGCAATATCAGCTTAATTACTAATTCTATTAGCAGTTGAATAATGTCAGAACAAATGATGCAATATTGTTCCGGCAAATCATAATACCATAGTATAAGTACATTTTCGACAGTAAATATAAGTGAATCAAAACATTGGGCATAAAAGGACAAAAGATGGACCTGGCCTAGTTTCAAAAATGATAAGAGTACTACACAAATAAATGATATATCTATCTAATATTACACATAGTCCTCCTTATATAAAATACAACAACGGTCCAGATCGTTTAGATCCGACAACTTATATTTTAATCATTTTAATTATAGTAACTCAACTCATATATTAAAAAAAAAATATTTTGCATGAGACATCCTAGTAATCTTACATTCTAGTCCCTTCTAGGTAGTAAGTTGTTGCATTACAGTTTTGGCATTTACGAGAGAAAGTATCGTGTGTGTGTGTGTATATATATATGTGTTGTTTATTCTAAGTTTCTTGGAGTCTCTCTCACTATCAAAGATTTAGTACATTAATGTTGGGTTCCACTTAAGTCCCATAGGTGTTTCCCAATTCAGTTATGGCTCTTCCTTTCCCCATTGTTCATAGTTGTTTTACTAATAAAAAAACAATTAATTTGTTGGTTTTGTACTACAAAACCTCTCACCTTCATTTTGATATCACTAATACCAATGCAGCATTCTAAACTAAAACTTGCAAACACCACCTTGAAATTTGCATGTATCATGCATGCATTTATAGGATTGTCCATGCCGCACTATAAAGCAGCACTCATAGTAAAAACACAAACCCATTGAACAAAACATTAAAAAAAACATCAATACACAAACATATATACATCATTAATTTTCAAAATCCTGAAATAAATATGAGTATCGTACTATGAATCGTAATGCATCACAAAGAAACTAAGAAAAAAGTGTACCCATGTCTGAATCGGTGGCAGAGGTATTGGCGTTGGTGGTAAAAGATGAAATTCTCAGAGAGAAGATCATCGAACACGATAAATAGAATATTTAACCTCAATAAACACTTTAACAGTTGAATGATGAAACTAAGACCATCTTTTCTTCAAAAGGAACAAATTTTTGAATAATTAGAATCACAACAAAAAACACCGAATAACTTAACATTTCAAGAGTAATAACTTTAATAGGAAAAGATGAGGAGATTTGGGACAACACCTTGGTGTGGGTTTGTCGTACTGATAAGCTTTTCTTTAGTCACTCTACATCTTAAATCTCAAAAGTTTCTGATAGAGTTGGTAAATGGAAAGATTGGATCAGCCACAAAGAGATAACGTGTTAAGTTTCCACTGCTTATGAGAAGTGATATAAGACCAAATAAGAGGAGCTTGAACCAAAGTGTTGGAGCTAATCATCTTCTTCACGGGCAACTCAAAAGTCCCATTACTGCTTAACCCCTGGATCAAATAATGTGGACTCATTAAAGCCAGCGTCTTGGTCATTGGTGGCCACAAATGCTTTGAGGTCGATGGTTAGAACTACTTGGCATGTAAAAGGGCTGTAATTTTAAAGCATTATTGTGAGACTCCTTAATGACATGAATTTAACCGTTATTGAGATAATATATTGTGAGACTCCTCAATGACATAAATTTAATTGTAATTGAGATAATATAATTGTGTTAGGGTAAAATAAAAAATTTAAATGGAGAAAGATAATATTGATATTAGTTGTTTTGTTGAGGTTATTATAGTCAATCAAAAAATTTTCACTTTTGTTGATATTTTATACTAGTATAGATTAAAAAACTTAAAATGAAAATTCATTGTAGGACTCTATTAACTTGGTAACATTTTTCATATTTTTTTTTATTTTGGTCAATGGTCAGGGTTCTTGAGTCAGATTAGACGCACATTGACTAATCTTTCTTCGGTCCAGTTAAAAACAAGATATTCATACCAGAATTAAGGCATTCATGAGAGATAAATTTTTCGTGACCTGATTTGAAAGAATTATCAAAATTCAAATTCAAGACGCTTGAGTTTACGGTTCGTTTATGTTACCACTAAAATTAATTCAAATAATTGCCAACATTCTTTTGATTTAAAAACTTAAAATGAAAGGGAAAACTTCGTCCACCACCCCTGTAGTTAACTATATCTTCAAAGACACCCCTATAGATTCCAAAACTTCACTGCCACCCCTTTTTGTTTGTATAGTCCCTTCACTTGCACCCCCGGTACTTAACAGTCCCTTTCTATACTACAAAAAGTGGATGACATGACTAAAATTTTTTATAATATTTCAAAATTACCCTTTTTATGTATAAATAGACTAAAATGTCATCATTTACACAACTTATTTATAGCATTGGACACCCAATTTGATCAGTTGATAGATTGAGTGAAAAAGTCCAAAAGTGTTGTAAAAGTTCAAAACTACAGTTATTAAATTTATCAAAATATTGAACTTATGATTATTCTGTAGGATTAATGTTGAAGCAATCATAATTTGTAAGACTGTTTTAATTTATTGTAAATCACCTTGAAGCCATTCATAATATATTGATCATCAAAATGTAATTACCATTGTGTCACTTTACACCTGAGCTTTACAAAAATTATATCCCTGGGATCATAGTCAAACTATACAAAAGTTACACAAAAATGTCCGGGCAATAGTCAAAATACATAGTCGAATCTGCAGCTTATGCTTCCCCACAGTCTTGGACAAGCCCAGCTTGTTCCCTTCCGGTGGTTGCCTACAACTTAGGGAACATTACTTTAGTACTTAATTACAATATACTAGAAATTACAACAAACTAGAAATTATAATCATAATCACCATAATGTTATAGACTAAAAATTATACCTGCTCATCACAATTTTCAGTTATGGTTTATGAAGCACGGATACGGATACAAGACACGGATATAATACGATATGGATACAGTGATACGATAAAGTCTAAAAAATGGCACGGGTACGGTCAAGATACAGCTATAATAAAATATTTTTATTATTTTCAATGAATATAATACTTATATATTTTGGTAGTTCTTTAACACAATAAGAAAAATTAGTAATTCTTTTTAGTTTGAAGAAAATATATATCGTATCACTATGGTATATTCACAAAATAAAGTGATTAATTAAAGGAATCAAAGTTAAAATTTATCGAATCAGTTTATTTAGAAGTAATTTTTGCTAAAACTAAAATATAATAGATTTATTTTATGCTCTTTTGACATGTAATTGTAGATAATACTTAAAAAATATTCATGTTCATTTGAAGTAGTATGAATTTTTGTAAATGTATTGTATGGTATATAAATTCGAAAGGAAATGTTAAAAATTCAACTCAAAAATTATATATATTGCTTACACAAAAGTATCCATGAAGTATCATAATATTTAATTATTATTGGATATGTAAGAGGTGTGTCCGATACGTATTTTTGAATATCTGACGAATATCGTATTCGATAAAACATCTAATACGGATACACCGATCACAACGAAATATTCGTATTTCATAAGTTATGGTGGTTACTAGAGATGCTGATTGTTGAGTCACTTCACCATCAACCTGTCCTTTAACCCTCGAACCCTTGACGAGTACCCGTTGACATGACCTTCTATTATGTCTAAACCCTTTGCATAAGCTGCATTTCACACTTAGGCACCTTCTGGCAGCACTAGTCCCACCTACAGGTTCATTTGCTTCCCTACACCTATTTGTTTTGGGTCTACCTGGTAATCTCCTAAGAGAGGGAGGGACAAAAAGATCACTTATAGTTGGTGGTCATTTCCTTTGGTCTTAATGTGAGATTTCGTGTTTCATATAAATATAAATTATATTAATTTATTAGTATTTTTAAAATAATTAAAATAATGAGAACAACTTTGAATCGTTGTTAAAAGTATAATCACGTAAGTTTGAGTTACTGACGTATTGACTTTTGAGTCAAATTTAATTTTTGATGTGTTTAAAGTTGATAAGGGTAAGTAAAATTATTAATTTTTTTAGGTCAAAATAACATTACCATTGAATCTTGGAGGTCAA